CGTGGCTTGCTGACACAAATGTGCTGCTCTGTTTTTCTAGAACAGCTTTCTTTTCTCCCCCATCTTGCAGACGGCTGAGGCATTGCAGCCCACTCTGCAGCCCGAAATGCAGATTCAACATGGAGCCATCCAGATCCAGTGAGACCAGGCATTGTAGGAGCGCTACGTCACAACTGCTCACTGACGCTGCCCTGTGCCCTGCTCTCCTGCTTCAGCAGAGCAGCTTTAAGTTCTTCAGGGCACCCGAGAGGTCCTCCTCCTGGGGACAGGTCCTGGACAGCCCCTGTGGAAGGAACCCCAAGATTGAGTCCCACTGCTGGTCTCCGGAGAAGAAGCATAGTACAGAGTGTGTTGAGTACATTCAGAAAAGCAAGAACTACAATATTTTGTTTAAACAAAACATTGTGTTTATAACAAAAAAGAAAATGGAAACACACACACACACACACACACCCCAGAAACACAACTGTAGAGTAGTAAAAACCTTGGCTGTGTGCTCCCTTTGGGGTCCTGATGTAGGTGTTGGAGACAGCTGATGATGCTGGAGCACTATGGACCCACTCTTGGGGGAGTGCTCACAGTGTAATTATGCATTTCTAATGAAATAAGGTGTATTTATGGCCACAAAATTAAAACAAAAAGCTAAAGGGAAGAAAAGAAAGAACTAGAAAATACAAAGACAACATTGTGTGGGGATTAAAAGAAAATTTGTATGTTCAAACACAGAATGACTGTAGAAGAGGCTGGTGGGAATGCTTATTAGAAAAGGTGGATACATTGTCGACACAGTGAGATTTACTCAGTGGTGTTGATGTGGTGAGTTTTACTTAGTGGCATTGATGTGGTGAGTTGTACTCATGGTGTGGGTGTTAGTTGTATTCATGGTATGTGTGTGGATTATACTCAGTGCTGTTGACATGGTGAGTTGTACTCATGCTGTGGGTGTGAGGCCGGAAAGGCTCCCAGGATATATAGAGGTTTAGAAGGTTTTCAGGATGAGCAGGAAGGGTGGGCAGTGCCAGAGGTTATGAAATGGAAGGCCCTATTTGTACTAGCCAAGACCTCTGGATTGTATGAGATGATGGTGACTGGAGCCATGGAAATTGGATAACAACAGTGGCAAATCAGACTGCAGTGACTTAGAAAGTGACAAGACTACTACACACCAGCAAGAGGTTATCAAGACACCAGATACTGATAAGTATTGAAGGCAATTAGAGAGATCAGAGATGAGCTGTGGTGATGGTGGGAACACACTGTGGGCGGCTGCTGTGGAGACAATTGGTAGTTCCTTAAGAGGTGAATGAAACAAGAGGATGGTGTGTGTGTGTGTGTGTGTGTGTGTGTGTGTGTGTGTGTGCAGTTCACCAGTAGAGCATGTGCTTCACATGTGTGAGGCCTCAGGTTCAATTCCAAGCACCAACAAAGAAAGAAGCAAAACAAAAGATGAAAACAATATAAATGTCTGGTGGCTGGACAACCAAAATATAGACTACCTAGATAATGGAATATTATTTACTCATAAAAAGGAACAAAGGCCTGATGCATGATACAACATGTATCTGCCTTGAAAACATCATGCAGGTGCAAGAAGCAAGACACAGAACTGATGAATGGCATGGCTTCATTTATATGCAGTATCCAGATCAGACAATTTCAGAGAGGAAGTGGATTAGTGGTTTCCAGGAGCTTGGGAGCTAGGAGTGGAGGGGTGATGTGGCGATATGCTATTTATGATTTAATAAAGATTTCCTGAAGGATCAGAATGCAAAACTAGCCTCACTAATTACCTATAGAAGCTGGGTAGTGGTGGCACACACCTTTAATACAGAACTCAGGAGATGGAGGCAGATGGATCTCTGTGAGTTCAAGGCCACCCAGGACTACATTAGAGAGAATCAGTCTAAAAGAGAAAAAGTGCTCACACCTTTAATCCCAGCACTGGAGAGAATATAAGGAGCTCAGTGCAGGCTCAGAAATCAGTCTAGATTCTGAGTCTTGGCGGAGAGCAGTGCAACCTGGAGATGCAAGCTGAGGTTCAGTGGATCCCCCCTTTGGTCTGGGCATTGGTAGAGGTGAGAACTCTCTAGTGGCTGGTTGCTTTGCTTCTCTGATCTTCAAGCAATCTTTATTAAATCATAAATAATATGTCACCACAGAGTGACAGCTAAGGGGGTGCAATTTCATTGTAAACTGCTGAAAATGTTGATGATGATGGGTTTTAGTGAATCCCAGATGTAATCAAGTTGACAACCAAGAATACCCATCACACTCCCACTCTCACACAATACATGTGTAAAACCAGAAGCTAAGATCTATGCATGCTGTGTTTGGAGTCTGAATTACCTTACATAATACAGTATTTTCTAGTTCCATCCATTTTCTTGAAAAATATCATGATTTCATTTTCTTGAGATACGGTCTTATGCAGCCCAGGCTGACCTCATGTTTGCCGTATATCCAAAGCTGACCTTGAGTGGATTCTGCTTTTGGGAATGCTGGTGAATTATATACTTTAAACAAGTGAGTTATAGGGCATTTAAATTGGTTGCAGAATATTTGTTTAACTATGCAAAGATGTGTTGCATTTAAGTATGTAAAGTATTTGTTGTATTTATGTTGCAGAATATTTATTTAACTATGCAAAGATGTTTAGTTATGTAAAGATGTGCTGCTGTTTTCCTTACTTGCCTAAGGCACCTGAATGGGCTAATAAAAAGCTGAACAGCCAATACCAGGGGAGGATGTAGAGGCAGAACTTCCAGGCAGGGAGAGTAGTAGGAAGAGGAATTTAGGCTCAAGGAAGAAAGAAAAGGAGATGATGGGGAAATGCCAGAAGCTAGCCTGATAGACACAGAGGAAGCAAGAAAGTAGGACATACAGAATGGAAGAATGATAAAAATCCCTGAGGCAAAACATAGATGAATAGAAACAGGATAAATTAAGTTAAAAGAGCTAGTGGAACAAGCCTAAGCTAAGGCCAAGCATTCATAATTAATAAGTATATCTTTATTTTGGGAGCTGGTTGGTAGCCCAAAGAAAATTCCAACTACATAAGTTATAGCTCAACAAAAGCTATTACACACACCAGACGAATTTAGGCTAAGGAAGCAGAGGCAGGGTGCACAGGCCACTCTTTGAAGGAGAAGAGGGAAAATGAGAAAAACAGTCAGCACAGCAAAGATGTGTGGAGGGTTCCAGCGTGGCAGCCCTGGGCACAGTGCTCTCATGGCTCCTTCAGGGTGGGCACTGCCTGTGTGTTGTTAATGGACACCTGTGTCCCTGTGTCTTAGATCTGCAGTGTTCAAAGACCTCTATGACCAAACCTCAGCTCACACCCAGAGAGCTCTCTACTCTTGGATGACTGGGATCCTGAGGACACCCTTCAACATCACCGGTGAGACCTGGTTGCCAGGGGGGGGAGAGGGTTGGGTGGAGTGATTTCTAAGAGAACACCACCCTCCAGACAGGTGCTTCCCCTCCAAAATCAGGGTTGATTTCATTGCTTTTGTGATTATTTTTTTTTCAAATTTATTTTTATTTTATGTGCATTGGTGTTAGCCTGCATGTATGTCTGTGTGAGGGTATCAGATCTTGGAAATACAGACAATTGTGAGCTGCATGTGGGTGCTGGGAACTGAACCTGACTCTTCTGGAAGGGCAGTCAGTGCTCTTAGCCACCCAGCCATTTCTCCAGCCCCCTGCTGTTGTGATTTTTATCCCATCTCCCCTGACACACTTCTAGAACCTATGTCATGTACCTGGTAGAGTAGAACCACATTCCATGGCACCGGTTCAAACACTGAAGTTTCTGAAATAAGGATGTGTCTGTCTTACAAATGACCTTGAGTTCTTGTTCTGTGGTGACATCTTACATTTGATGACAACTTTAAAACCCATGTAAAATGTGTGCATTAGCCAGGTGAGGCGGTGTACTTAGTCCCAGCACCCAGGAGGCAGAGGTAGGTGGATCTCTATGAGTTCAAGGCTAGCCTGGTCTAAATAGTGAGTTTCAGGACATGCAGTACTGCACAGAAACCCTGTCTCAACAAAAGAAACAAACAAAAAGTGTGCATTAAAGTGACATAAGTTTCTGTTAGAAAATTTTCTGTTGGATCTTGGCACCCAAAGTAATGATTCTTTGGGGTGCATTCATTTGAGGGATGTGCACTAAAACCTTGCTTATGTCCTAGAGTGGCCAAGTAGAGACAGGAGCTGATGTAGAGCTTCAGGTTTTTCTTTTTAATTTGTGTGTGTATGTTTGTGTGCAGACATCAGAGGTCAACCTCATCTATCATACCTCAGGTGATCATCATCGCTTGAGACAGGCTCTCTCATTGAGATGTGGGGCTTGCTGGTTAGATGGGCTAGCTAGCCAGCAACCCCAAGCCATCTGTCTGTCTCCACTTCTCCATGCTAGAATTCCAAGCCTGTGCTATGACGTTAGGTTTTGTTTTTGTTGTTGTTTGTTTTGTTTTGAGACCAGGTCTCAATAAGTAGCCTTGACTGGCCTGGAACTGACTATGCAGACCAGGCTAGCCTCTAAAGTCATGGAGATCTGTATTTCTCTACCTCATCAGTACTGGGATTAAAGGCATGTGCTTCTATGCCTGGCCAGATTTTAGTGTTTTAATAGGTTCTGGTTATTATGCTAAGGTCTTATTGTTTGCTTAACAAGCACTTTACTAATGTGCAATCAGTTGTGTCTGCATTGAACACGAGCAGACTTTACACTTGGCATTGCTCCCCAAACAATACAATATAACTATTAGCATAACATGCTCATTGTGTTCAGTATTACAAATACTGAACTGATCTAGAGCTGATTTAAGGTGTAGGTGAGGATGTGTGTTGATTACATGAAAATGCTATCACATTTGTATAACAGACTAGAACAGTTAGGATTTGGGTATCTACAGGGGATCCTAGGCTCATGGGTCTAGGCTCATTATGTTTGATGCCACTGCAGAAAGTGAGAGAAGAGAGAAAGAAAAGAGATGAGAGAAGAAATAGAGGGAAGGGCAAAAAGAGAGAAAGAGAGGAAGAGGTACTTGGATACTGGTAGCTGTTATGAAGATAATAAAGTGGATAAATGCCATAGGAGGGATGACTGATTCAGACTAGAACAGGGTTGGCAAAGGCCTTTCTACAATGCTTTACAAGATAAGAAAATAGGGTGGGGGAGATGGCTCAGGGGGTAAAGCACCCCGATACACACCAGGTGAGCATGGCAGCCTGCTTGTAATCACAGCCCACAAGAGGTGGAGACAGGGAGTCTTGGAGGAAGCTGGTAAGCTAGACTAGCCAAATTGGTGACTTCTAGGTTCAAGTGAGAGACCCTGTCTAAAAAATCTAAGGTGGAGAGTGATCAAGGAAGACACCTACGTCCAGCCTCTGGCCTTCAGATGCACACGCGCACACATGTATCTACACTCATATAAACATGCATACACATAGGTGTATCATACACACATACTCATGCCTAAAATTAGCAAATATTTTAGCCATTTCTTGAAAGCAATCACAGACGGTGGATGAATGGGGGGCCTGAATCTCAGTAAAACTCTGTATGGACATAAGTATTTGAACTAATATAATGTGCGTGTATTACCAAACATTAGTGCTTTTTAATTTTCTTTTCAATCATATAAAAACTGTTCTTGGTTTTCAGACTATATAAAAACAGATGGTGGCCTGAGTTTGTCCCATGGTTGATTAGGGTTGGCCAATCTCTGAACTAAGAAATCAGGGAAGACCTTTCCAATGGATGCCATCTGGATTAAACCAAAGATGAAGAGATTGTGTCATGTGCAGCTCAGGGAGGGAAGACATCCAAGGGCAGGGGACAACAAAGGTTTTGGAGTGAGAATTGACTCAGTGTGTTGGGAAGATATAGAAGAAGTCAACAGGGCTGGGACACCGGATATGCCAACTTGTCTTTTCCTGGAATTAATCTCTGAGACTTCCGTGGGAGTAACTTTAAACAACATACACTCAATGTCTTAAATACATGGGTGAATTCCCTCTAGTCATGGCCTCCAGGAACCTGAGCCTCACATTATACAACATTGAGGTCATTCAAGTCTTTATTGTCAGTTTAGTTGAGAACTGATTTTCCTTCTAGAATACCTATGTGTGGCAAGTTCCATTATTAAATTACAGTGAATTCAAATTCATCCTATTAGTCCATGAACTTCCCAGAGGTAATGGGCTGAATTCTGACTATTAAAATAATCCATGCTTGGGTATCATGGCTCCACAGAAATGCAACTCATGCTTTGTAATTAGTTGGGAAAAGGCAAATTAAGCTTGGATCTTGGTGAATACTGTGTTTCTGTGGCCACACATTTCTTCAATAACCATCCCAGACACCAACGGTGACATCTACACACTTCAATTTTTTTAAAAAAAGTATTTATATATGTGTGTGCGTGTGTGTGATGGCTAGAGGTAATGGAATCATGTGTCTTCCTCAATCATGTTCCACTTCATTATTTTGAGACAGGGTCTCTCACTGAATGTGGAGCTCACTGGTTGACTAGACTAGTGGGCCAATGAGCACTGGGGATCCACTTAAAACCCACTGGAGTGCTGGGGTTACAGGTGTGTGCTTCTGTGGATGCTGGGATGCAGACTCAGGTTCCTGTGTTTCTGAGGCAGATGTTTTACCAGCTCAGTCATGTCCCCAGCCTCTAACCCCCATACCTCTGATTCCCTAGCTTAAGGAGATAACAGTATTTTGTGAATCAGCCCATGAAAAAGCTAACTTGTCTATCTCATTTAGACATTGCCAGGGTCCACATCTCCCAAAACAGAACTTAATGACAGATTTATATGCTCTCATTTCTTTCTTTTCTCTAAATGCCACCATTACAATGCTGTGTGTAGCATCTATACCAAAGGCCTAAGGGTGGGGCAACCTCAGCCAGTACCAGCTCATTGAAATTTGACTTTGGGTCCTGGTTTGATTTTTCTTAAAGTTCTATTGATATGTCATAAATGGGAGATCTCAAATGCCAGAACACAGTAACACAGAGACTCCTCTGGGAATTGAGAAGAAAAAGAGATTATTTTCAGCTAAGGAGATAAAGGAAGGTTTAAGATAGGTTTGATAGCACAACCTACAATCCCAGCTACTTGGGAGGCTAAGGGAGAAGGACAGCTAGCTCAAGATCAGCTTGGAAAACTGAGTAAGACCTTGTAGCTAAGCAAAAACAGGGTAGAGGATTTCTTAGTGGTAGAGTCCTTGCCTGGCATGTGTGAAGCCTTGGATTCAACCCCTAGTATCACCTAAATAAAAACAAAAGCAAAAGCAAAGCCAAAGGGCTGGGAAGATGTCTCAGTTGGTAAAGTGCTCACCTTGCAAGCCTGAGGACCTGAGTTCAATCCCCAGAACCCATATGGTGGTGTGTGCTGATAGTGTCAGTCCAGGGAGGGAGAGACAGATAAATTCTTGGGGCTCTCTGGCCAGCCAGCCAGCCTAGCCTACTCAGTGAATTCTAGGCAAGTGAGAGACGTCATTTCAAAAATCAAGCAAGCAAGCAAGCAAGCAGCAAGCAGCAAGCAAACAATTCTCAAGACAAAAAAAAAAGAATTTGATAGTACATGAGAAATGGCACCTAAAGTTGTCCTTTGGTGGCTTGAACACACACACACACACACACACACACACACACACACACACACACACCACACACATCCCCCACACCATATCCCCCCCCCCACACTCCCAACACACCATGTCCCCTCCACACCCCAAAAGGCTTCAAGGAAAAAGAAAATTTGAACCCAGCCTTGAAGGTAGGTAAACGTTAAGGAAAGATGTTCCAGGCAAGCAGAGATCCTGGGAGCATTTGGAGTACATGCAGGTAATCTTGATTTCACTCAAATATAGTAACATGGTGGTAAACAAGTTACCCACTAGTTATTACTAACTAGGTTAAAATGAAGTTTTATAAAGGAGAGTCAAGTATATGTCAAACTGTCAGATTATTGACTAAAGAACTGAACTCAAAGTAAATCACTGTATTTTTTGGTCTCAAGATTTAAAAACCCATCTGAGTACCTAACAAGTTCCAGGTAATGTTGATGATGCTGATCTGGGGACCACACAGTCGAGTGGCAAGTCTCAGGTGGTGGCTATCTGTGGCTGTGGCCTGTGTGTACTGTGGGGTCTCGATACATGGTAGCTGAATAAATTAAGGAATGCCACAAGGAGTCCTGACATCAAAGATGCCTTGGACCACCACATATCATGTGTTACATGTGCACATGTATGTAGATGGATGCCAGGGTCAGTGCTGGGAGTCTCCTCCATCACTTTGCACCCTATTTGTTTATTTAAAAGATTTATTTTATGCGTGTGTGTGTGTGTGTGTGTGTGTGTGTGTGTGTGTGTGTGTGTGTGCGTGTGTGTGTGTGTATGCATGCACTCATGCACACCTGTGGAGGTCAGAAGAAAGTGTTAGATCCCCTGGAGCTAGAATTCCAGATGGTTGTGAGCTGCCCAATAGAGGTGCTGAGAACTGAACTTGGGTCCTCTACAAGAGCATTTAGGGCTCTTAATTGTTGAGCCATTTCTATAGCCTTTCTGTCTTATTTTTTGAGACAAAGTCTTTTATGGAACCTGGACCATACTAATTTGTCTAGGCTGGCTAGCTAGCAAGCTTCAGGAATCCTCTCATCCCTTTCTCTCCAGTGCTGGGATTACAAGTGTGTGCAACTGTGTCTGTATTGTTTTGATCTTTTCTTACTGTTTTCTCTCCTTCTCCTTCTCCTTTTCTCCTTCTCCTTCTCCTTTTCCCCTTCTCATTCTCTTTCTTCTTCCTCTTCTTCTATGTGGGTTCTGGGAAATGGAATTCAGGTTCTCACTCCTTTTCCCCTTCTCATTCTCTTTATTCTTCCTCTTCTTCTATGTGGGTTCTGGGAAATGGAATTCAGGTTCTCATACTTATATGCCAAGCACTTTACCACCTCCCCATTTAGAAGCTGTTATTTGTTTATTTACTTATTATTTATTTTATGTCTCTCTTTGTAGATGGCTCAGTTTCATGGGTCAGTGCAGAAAAATTATGGATTTTGGGCAGATACATGGTTCACCTATCATTTGAAGAAATTATGAAAATCAGTCCTATAGAAGTAAGTTGGAAAAGTATATTTTCATGTCCTTATTGCTAATACACCTTGAATGAAGTGTGCTCTAAACTTCCAATGTTTAGTAAGTCAGGTGTCCCGGAAACATTGCACCTGCCTCAGCCCAGACTGTCTCTACCTTTTAAACAAAACTCTTGGAACAAAGCCCCAGGGGTCAGTGGTGGGATTGTATTCTAGCACAGAAGAGTTTAGAAGAAAAGGAACTGTGGACAACTGAGAGCTTTGACGTGATCAACATAATATGAAGGGAGCATTGGCAGTGAACCAAGACTTATGTGAGGAGATTTTCATACTCAAGAAAAGCCAAGGACACTAGATATAGAGTTTCCAGATCCTGGAAGCCTGAGCTCAAGCCAGAGCAGCATGGATTAATGGCTGCTTCTATTAATAGTGACTTCTATTAATAGCTACTTCAACATGAGCAATGATTGGATCTGAATTCTAGGGTTTACAGTGGAGCAGTGTTTGTGGCTCTTGTTACTTAACTCACCCGTCAATTTGTCTCTTTTCCTTCTGATGTTGACTCAATGACATTAAGATCCCTTGGGCATTGTGACTTTGAAATGTAGCCACTGAAGAATGCTTCACCAGAGGTTCCTAAAGAGCAGGGGGCTGGGCTCCATTAAAACAAAGATGGAAAGCACTAATGGGCCTTGCCTCTCACCTTGCACCAGAGGACTGCCTTCTTCAGAAATCGGTCCATCCAACAGTGTATGATTGCTATAAACCCTTGGTTCCTTTTGTATGATCATATGCACCATGTGCAAATATGAGTGTGAGTGTGCACACACCATGGTGCCTGTCTGAGTGCTGGAGAACAGCTTTCGGGACTTGGTTCTTTTCTTCCAAGATGAATTCAAGGGATTGAACTGAACCTTGCATGACCAGAACCTTTGCCTGCTGAGCCATTTCTCCAACCACGGTTCCCTTTTACCCAGGAGACTAGGAACCTCAGACATTTTTGCTGTGTTACAGCCTTTGGTCTTTGAAGTAAAACCCTGTCACCCCTCTTCCCCCTTTACTCTCTCAAAGCTGAGTGATTTTCAGAAAGTAGTTCTGGTTAAATTCGAAATTTAACCAGAAATCTGAGCTCTTGGGGATTTCTAAGATCAGGCATCCATGGGCAACTTCTTGTGACCCTCAAATATAGAAAAATGGGGAGGGGATTATGTGTGGTTACAGGAGTTAATCCTCACTGGAGGGATTTTAAGAGCATCTTCTTTTCCATGTGGTGTTCTCTGTCTGTCTGTCTGTCTGTCTGTCTGTCTCTCTCTCTCTCTCTCTCTGTATGTGTGTGTGTTTGTTTGTCATGTGTGTTATTGGATTGCACATGTGTGCAGGAGGATGTGTAGGCCAAAGTCAACATCAGGTACCTCTTCCTTGATTGCTCTAGCTTATTTTTTTAATTACTATTTTGTTATTTATATTTGTATGAGTGTTTTGCCTGCATTCATGTCTATGTACCACTTGCACTGCCTCGTGGAGGACTGAAGAGAGCGTCAGATCTCCTGGAACTGAAATTCCAGATGGCTGTGAGCCTCCCTGGGGGTGGTGGGAATTGAACCTGGGTCCTCTGGAAGAGCAGCTAGTACTCTCAACTGCTGAGTCTTCTCTTCAACACGTCTCTCCACCTTGTTTTATGAGGTAGGGTCTCTAGCAGAGCCCAGAGCTCATTATTCTGACTAGTATAGCTAACTAGTTTGGCCCTGAGATCTCCTGTCTCTGCCTCTGAAGTGCTGGGATACAGGGTGTTGCCATGTCTATTTGACTCTTTCTGTGGGTTCTGGGCATCTGAACCCTTCCCTCATGCTTGGACTTTACACACTGAGCTATTTCCCCAATCCATTGAGAACTTTTTAAAATACAGAATTAGAGTATACTAACATACAGAATGCACTGTCTGTTAGAAGTAGGAGGTAAAAACCACAATGAGTCTTATTGCAGTATAAGATATCAGTGTGATAGCCTTGGACGTGCAAGCAAAACATAGCAGGAATATATAGTCTGAACATACACTTAACACTGTGTGTATTATATATTCTAAAACTTGGTATCTTGCAAAGAGAACACATTCTCTGTCTGTCATAGCAGGGCCATCTATAAACTTGTTCATCCATTTCAAAAATAATTTTCATTCTCCAAAGCAGAAAATTTGTGTGTTGCATTGTCTGTACTCAGCACACTAAGTCTAGGACCACGAGTGGAACAATTAACTTTAAAAACCTTCAGCCCCTAGAGTGTTAAAAAGTAACATCTTCCTGCCTATCCTGGAAGTGTGCAACTGCAATTCCTTTCCCAGCACTAAAAAAAAAAAAAAAAAAAAAAATGCCAGTGAGGATTAGTACAAGAAGGAAGCCTTAATTCAGGGCATTCTGGGTCATGCCTTTAATCCCAGCACTTGAGAGGCAGAGGAAAGTGGATCTCTGTGAATTCGAGGTCAGCCTGGTCTACAGAGTGAGACCATGTCTCTAAACAAACAAAACTAGATTTCCCATATGACCCAGCCACACTACTCCTGGATATTTACCCGAAAGCCTCCAAGTCAGCAGGTCAGAGAGACACTTGCACGTCAGTGTCCCTTGTAGAACTCTAGAACAACTAAGAGATGGATGGAGCCAACTGGATGCCCAACAGGAGAGGAGTGGATAAGGGAAATATGCTCTATGTGCACAATGGAACTATTTTCATCCTATCATCTTTGTTTATTTGAAATTACTGTGGATTTTAATTTTAATTATATATTTATTAATTTGTTAAGAATTTTTATACATTATATTTTGAATATATTCACCCCAGCCCCTCCCACCCACATAGCTTTGAGATTTCTTTTTTCTTTATTTCTTTCCCCCACTGAGTCCAGTTTTACACAATGGAATTTTTCAGCCATAGAGAATGAAGTTATGTTGTTTTCAGGAAATGAATGCAACTGGAGATAATCATATAAGCTAATTAAGTCAGTCTCAGAAAGACAAATGCGTTTCCTCTCACTTGTGGTTCCCAGATTTTATACAGATACATAAAACCATGTGTGTATATGAAACCTGGAAGTAGCAATGAAATATTTAGCGGAACAAATGGGGTGAGAAAGATGAGGGGTAAGGGGCTATGGGGAGAATTCTCAACAAATGATATACACTCAAATAAATATCTTTGTGTACCATAGTACAATGAGTATATATACTGAACAGTAAAAGATAATAATAAAAGAAGTAAAGTAATTTGAGAACTGGTAGCATAACCATATGCCTGAGATGGGCACAGCACGGGCCACCAGGATGGATCCCCACTGGACCACCTGACCCTCCACACTGACCTCACCCATCTTCCCATCCTTGTCTACCAGATTGGGCTGTTTATCAGCTATGACAACGCCACCAAGCAGCTGGACACCGTGTATGATGTCACCCCTGAACTGGCTCAGGCATTTCTGGAGAGGATCCGATGCTCCAGCTTTGACATGAGGAATATCTCCACCATCCACAGGCAAGGGTGGCCCTGGGCCCTTCCAATATTTGGTTCAAGGACTGGGGAGATGGCTCAGTTAGGAAAGTGCTGGGTCAATGAGCATGAGGGTCTGAGTTAGATTCCATGGCACCCAGGTAAAAAGCTATGTGTGTCAGCACGTGCCTATAATCCCATCACTGAGGGAGGACACCAGGTAGAGACCAGCTCCTGGAGCTGGCAAGCCAGCCAGGCCAGGTAACTGATGAACTCCAGGCTCACCGAGAGACCCTGTCTCCAATAAGTAAGGTGGAAGGAGATTTAGAAATACACTTGATGTCCTCATCCTCTGGCCTCCACGTGGATACACACATGAAAATGCATACTTACATGCATGAATGCAGAGTAAGTACTAGCTATCTTGGAGTGACTACAAATCCAGGGTTCCCTGATAATAGTCCCATACTTCTCTGTGCATGTGAAGAGACGGACTTGCTCCCAAGGGCTCACCGCCTTTTGAAACTGTTTGGAAAAGGGAAGGGGACAAATCCTTGAGCATCTCCCGGAGACCAGGCATTTTCTGTCACCTCTCCTGGAGACCAGGCATTTTCTGTCACTTCTCCTGTCCTTCTTCCAGCCCTGAGCTGGAGCTAGGCCATCTCCACTAGTCAGGGTGCCATTGCAAGGTGAATTGCCAGGTTGGGGCAAGTGTTGGAAGCAACTGGTGAATTCCCATGTTCTAGGGGATCCCTTGTGTCAGGCTGTCAGCTGGGGAGCCCCTGGATGTCAGCTCTAGAATCTAGTCATGGCACTGAGATCTTCTTTAGTCATTTCCAGGCAGGGGTGCCTGATCCTGGAGGGAGGGAGGGGTCACTCAGGGGTGGAGATAGTGAGAACAATCTGTTCTGGTTTGATTTTTGTTGCTTTGATAAAATACCATGAGCAAGAGCAACTTGGGGGTTTATCACATCTTAGAGCTTGTAGTCCATCATTGAAGGTCTCAAGGAAGGATCCTGGGGGCAGGAACTGATGTAGAGACATGGAGGAGTGCTGCTTACTGGCTTTGCTTCCCATGGCTTGCTCACCTTGCTTTCTTATACAACCCAGGATGTATTTTGCTCAGGGATGGCACCACCCATAATGGACTGGACCCTCCTACATCAATCATTATGCAGGAAAATGCCCTACACACATCCCCAGGCCAATCTGATGGAAACATTTCTTAATTGAGGTTTTCTCTTCTGAGATGAACCAAGCTGTGTCAAGTTGACCAAAACCTATCCAGCACATAATCTTCTCTCCATCATCTCAGGGTCTTGGCTGTCACTTCCTGAATTACCTTTGAGACTATGTCACAATCTTCCTCGTCCATAATAAAGTTCACCCATTAACATGGATCCTATTTTATATACACAAAAAATAACCTGGTAATTTAAAGACATGGACCCAGAGCTAGACTTCTGGGTTTAATCCTAGCTCTGCTACTTGTGAGTTGTGACCTTGGCCACATCTTATCACCTCCCTGCGTCTTTCTTTATCCATATATAAAATGGGAGACAGGAACAACCCTGCCTCATTAGGTCCTCTCAAAGATTCATGTCTGACATATTACATGTGCTTAATATATGGTATCTTTTCCTAAAATGGTCTTGCAAATAAAGTTGTGTTTAATTATGGTTTATAGTATACAGTGCTGGTCAATTTTTGTCACTGTAAGAAACTAACTTAAAGTAGTAAAGGTTCTTTTTGCTTCATGGTTTTGAGAGGTTTCTGTCCATGGTTGCTTGGCCCTGTAGCTTTTGGGATTCGCAGAGGTGACAGACACATTGACACATCACGGTGGAAGCAAGTGACAGAGCAAAGCTATTCACCTCATGGCACCCATGAAGCAGAGAGGTGTGTATGTGTGGGATGAATATATCAGGACAAAACATGCCCTTCCCCGTTACCTACCTTTCCTAGCAAGGCCTTGGCTCCCAGTGTCTTCACCATCTCCAATAGTCTGTAATACTGTGCATCTATCAATGGACTAACTGTAGTGAGGAATTTTGAGCCCTTGTGATTTAATCACCTCCCCAAAACCCCACCTCTGAACACTGCTGGCCTGAGGACCAGATCTACAATATAGGGACCTTTGAGGGACATTCAAGATTGAAACTACAGAGTTGGGAAGATGGCTCAGTGGGTAAAGTCACTATCTACGCAAAGGTGAGACCTGAGTTCAAATCCCAGTACCCACATAAAAGTTGGACATAGAGCGTAAGCATCTGTAACACTAGCTCTTCTATGTAGAGATGAGAGAGGTAGAGACAAGAGAATCCCCAGAAGCATGTGGCCCAGCTAGCCTGGCATATGCATGCACGAACTCCATCCTTATCAAGGTGGAAGGTGAGGACTAACTCAAGAGTAAAGTCGAACTAGATTGACAACAGGTAATTTATTAAAGGGATAGTACTCATGCAAGGGCCAGTGACCAGGTTGACACTGGAGCTGGAGTGACCCACAGATGTCTGCTCAGCCAGGTGGGGGAGAGAAAAAAGGCCCCATGCATGCCTCTTTGCTACTTAAACCCTTGCTACATCACTCTGACAACACCCAAGCGGGCGTGGTAGGCGGAACCTGTGACCAGCCCCAAGCAGGTGTGGTCAGCAGTACCTCTAAACAGGATTATTCCCTACACAAGAAGAGGTTGTACTTTCACCTTCTCATGCTGTGGCACTCACATCTGAATCACACACAACTGTGGGCAACCCACAATGTGCCCCTCCCCATGAATAAAAAAGCCCCTGCAACATGTATAAATTGTAGAATGGCTAAACTGAGTAACTAACATGCCCGTTACCTTCTACACATGTGTGTGTTTGTGTGGGTGATGAAATGCTTACAATCTAGACTGAACAGTATTCTCTGTTGTTAACTAGAGTCGCCATGATCTCCGGAACTCACTCCTCTTCTCTAACTGAAATTTTGTGTCTGTTGACATCACTCCCCCAGGTTCCTGGTAACCACCATCCTACTCTTTCTATAGCTTAGTGATCTCTTGTGTCCGTGGCTGAATATGTCACTATCTCTGAGAAGGTTGGACCAGGCTGCTTGTAGTCAATCAGCTGGTCTGGCCATGTTGAACTAGATAATCTTCGTATTATCTGTAAGAACTTTTGTTAATGAGTGAGTGCTTTGCATCCACCAGGAAGACTCACCACTGGGCTTGCCTGTCCTTACTTTACTTTCACAGTCCCCCTCATTCCTTCATCGTCATATTTCCCATGATGACTGTGATGAATAGAGTGAACCAAGTTACTAAGAGTTCAGAGAGACAGGCTCATCCTGTACTGTAGCCCACAGCGTGCACTGCACTGCTGTACGCAGCAACCTCAAAGAGGAGTCAAGTTATTCACCTGAGGCAAACATCTCACAGAATGGGCCTCCAGACTCCAGCTGGCCTGAGCTAGTGGCTCTTGACCACTAGCTATAATGTTCCCAGCTAGACTGGAGCTAGCATTCCTCTGCTCCCACATTATTCTGTTTCTTTTCTTCTGACGTCTTAGCATCATCTGAGTGGGTAGGTGATAAAGCCACCTATAACCCTCTACTGTCTGCTCCCAGTGAGCCACCTCCTCTAATGTCTGCTCCCAGTGAGCCACCTCCTCTAATGTCTGTTCCCAGTGAGTCACCTATAACCCTCTACTATCTGCTCCCAGTGAGTGACCTCCTCCACTGTCTGCTCCCAGTGAGCCACCTCCTCTAGCCATGGTTGCCACCAGCTGGGGACTAGGCATTCAAACACATGAGCCTGGGGGTGACATTCCACGGTCAACCCATACTAGGGGCTAATGAAAACTAATCCGTGGGGGTTGTTGGGTGGTAATGATCCAGGTGGAGGGCACAGGATGAAGCAGGTGAGTGATGGCCACTTTCACGGTCTGGACTGCTCTCAGCTCTGAGCAACCCCACCAGCCTCCTTTATCTTCTCCCATAGGTTGGGGCTGTTGGTTTGTTTCTATGATGGTCTGGAGCTGCTGGACGCCACCCTGGCCCAAGTCCTTCTCCACCAGATGCTCAAGTGCAGCCGCCTCCAGGGCTTCCAGACTGGCATTCAGAAGGTACAGATGAGATGAGAGTCCTGGGGCCTCGGCCTCAGTTTCACCAATTTGCCTGGCTTTTTTTTTTTTTCAAAATTAACAATTTATTGGGGTTAGATGGGTAAAGAAAAAATGGCTTTTTTTTTCAAAATTAACAATTTATTGGGGTTAGATGGGTAAAGAAAAAAGCCAGTATAAATCAAATATGTAAAATCAATTTCTAATAATTTTATGGTATAAAAATAGTGATAGGAAGCATTTTCTTTAAAGTTAAAAAAGTTATAACAGTATCATAGCCACAAACTTTGCAATGTAATATTTCTGATATTAATGCTATATTTAAATTAATGTCATAGAAAATATAATTAGCTATATTAAACTCAACAATATTCAGAACATTTGTTTATACCTCATCTTTGAAGTATCTGACCCAATCAATGAAAGTGATAATGCTATTATCATTAAGTACATGCATATGTATGCATATAAGGAATTGCCTGGCTTTTGTGAACAAGAATGTGTTATTAAGCAGTCCAACCCTGGCAGATGGCATCTTCAGTCCTGGAGGAGAAGCTCATAGGAAGGAATTACAAAAGCAAAACAATACAAAACCCCACTGTACAGGAAACCTGGATGTATTAAAACATAACAGAACGGCCATGGCCAACCGAAATGAAGGGTCATCCGGGAATCTTAACATCTGCACTGAGCTCAGCTTGTGGTCCTTAAGTGCAGATCTGCTCAGAGGTCTGGGGTGAGGCCAGAAGTGCTGACAAGTGGCTGAGGGACAGATAATGCAATCATAGTACAAGGTGCTCCACAGGAGTCAAGGCTCCACCAGCCTCCACGCCAGGGACTGATGTTATTGGTTTAGGGAAGTAGCCTGGGCATGTCATATTTTTAAAGAAGTTCAGAGCCCAGCATGGTGGCACAGACCTGTGACCCCAGCTGCTTGGCAGTCTGAAGCAGGGCTGTCATAAATTCAGAGTCTCCTTGAGTAAGACCTTGTCTCAAAATAAAAAAAAAATAAAAAAAAAACCATATAAGAAAAGGGTTTAGGAATGTAGCTCAGTGGTAGAATTCTTGCACAAATTGTGTGGATCCCTAAGTTCAACCCTGAGAATAGGAGGGGAAAAAATGGTCGCCAGGGCAAGGGCCAAGCTGATGACCCAAGTTGGATCCCCAGAACACTCATGGTGGCAGGAGAGAACTGACTCCGGCAAGTTGTCCCCTGACTGCTACGCGAGTGCTGTGGTACATGAACGGATCCACTTCTCCATGAATGAACGAACGAACGAACGAATGATGAGAATCTCCAGATGGTCCCAACACAGGCAGGATGGAGGAGCCCCGGATGAATGTCTGTTATTTTACTGAGCTCTAGACTTGTTTCTGGGTCAAATTAGCAAATACAGATGGCTTCCTCTCCCTTGTCCATCCTTGCCTCTCCCCGTTTATTTTTTTCAGTGAAGTCTAGTTATGTATCTGAGGCTGGCCTCAAATTTGTGATCCTCCTGCTTCAGTCACTTGAGTGCTGGGATTTCAAGCATGTGTTACCATTACCTAGGCTTCTTATTTCAATTTTTTCCCCCACTCAAGTTTCAGATTACTCTTTTCCTAATTAAAAATTAGAACCATCACATTACAACACTGTTAAAAGAAAATCTTGGTAAAGCCACCAGTAATTCCACAGCAGTTTCTTCACACATAATTCCAAATACCTTGTTAGGTTTGACATCTCCCACCATGGTCAGCTATTTGTCAAGGCCTACTTTTGTGCTCAAGGAAAAACTCTTAAGCTCAACCAAAAAATAAGAAAGAAAATGACTGTATTTTTGTGGCCATAAGAAAGGCAAAGGCAATTAGACATGGGGTGGGGGTCCACCTTCGGGTCACTGGGTTAGGGACAGAGCTTAGCGGTTCTCAGACGTAAGGGCTCGTTGGTCTGGCTCCTTACAGGGCACACCACTGGGTTCTGTATTACCAGCTGATTCTTCAGGCTGTGGCCTGGCACTTGGGCATTTCTAGCCACCATATGATGCTGCTGGTGCCTGGGACCACAGCAGTGCTGTCTTCCTTCGGTGGCCTGAAAACAGCACATGGGAAGGGAGCCTACTGAAGTGAGAGCCTGAACCAGTTTCTTCCTCTTAACTATGCTGCCCCCCAGCGGCCATTTCAAGATTGCATATGTAAGGGTTACGCATGCGTGACTGAAATGAATGTTGTTTATACAAATTCAAGTGTTAAAACAGATCGCTATCCTCATTTTTGCATTTATTTATTATTTTTAGTTATCTCTTTATTGTGTTCATGTGTGAACGTGTTTGTGTGTCAGAGAACACTTGAGAGCCAGTTATTTTTATCAACTTTGTGGGGCCTAGGGATCCAACTGAGGTCATGAGGCTTGGTGGCTAAGTACCTCCTCCTGCTGAAACACCTGACTGGCCTCTCATCATTTATTATTATTACTATTTGTACAGAAGCTATGATACAGTTGGTGAGTTTATCACCTTCCTTATCGGTATCAGATAGGAATTCTTGACTGTAATTAGGGAAGTGTGTTACAATAAAAGTAATCAACAAGGCAATCTTAGAAGCATGCAGACATGTACAACGTATTATTCAAGTGGAAATATAGAGCATTAAGTAGTTCTGTTTATATTATAAATCTGTAAGAACTTCACATTGTGTATTTCTAAAGCCAGAGTGCCAATAGGAAGATATGCATGTCTTTCTCTCCACCCCTCCTTCGGTCTTCCCTCACCCCTTCTCATTTCCACCCCTTTCTCCTTCCTTCCGTTTCCACTTCCATCCCATCTCCCATCCTTCCCTCTTTTCTTCCTTTCCCCTTCCTCTCTCTTTTCTTCCGGGTCCTCCCACCCTGCCCTTCCCCACCATTGGAAAGTGTTCGATGACCAAGCCCTATGCTCATTTGCTCATTTCTGTAGTTACTTTCATGAGTTTGGATTTTCACTTTATCTTTCTTGTACTGCTGAGAATTATTTTTATGCAGATTATTTATTACCATGAGAAAACCCCTGGATAGTTCACAAAAGGAAAGCAACCAAATATATGGATATAGAGTTCAAGATCACAACAGGAAAATAGATGCTACAAATTGTGATGGAGTTACAAGGGAATGAAATTCTTCCTGACATGCTTGGAGGTTGATTTAACAACACATTAATATTTAAATGAAACCCAAAGTGAATTTTCAGCACATGAAAGCCAGGCCTGGAGGAGACATTCTCAGGGGGCCATTCACTGTCTGGCCATGACCAAGAATCCCTTGCTTTGCTGTCCCTGCGCCCATGTCTAGAGAGGGTATACCTAGGATGTGGTCCGAGGGAGTCGCTGCCTTGCTTTCTATTAAGGCTCACGCTTATTTGTGATCCTTCCAGCTCAAGGCCAACCTCCTGGACATCGCTACACAGAACCAGACCCTCAATGAGACCCTGGGCTCTCTGTCAGATGCAGTTGTGGGTCTGAGCATCAGTGAGCTGGAATCCCTCTCCCCTGAAGCAGTGCACAGTGCCATCTCTACCCTCAGCCAGGTTACAGGCTGGAGCAGAGGCCAGATCCACATCTTGTCTGCCAAGTACTTGGCCCAGGAAAAGGTCAGCTGGAACCCTCAACCTTCTTCGAGTGTGAAGTTAATCAGGTTGCTGTGACAAACTAACACAAGTTTAAACAACAGACATTTCCTTCTCACAGTTCTGGGAAGCCTCATTTTGAGGCGTGCTGTTTTGGCTTGTGGACAATAGCTGTCTTTCTATGTATTTATGTGAACCCCATGACAGCAAGCTGGTGTGTCTCTCTGTCTTTTGGCGAATGCATGTATGCTTATTTATGTAGATATGTGTGGGGGGCCAGAGGGATGTTGAAATGTCTTCTTTGAGCATTTATCTACCTTGCTTTACTGAGACAGGTTCTCTCATTGAACCTAGAGCTTGCCACTTAGCTAGACTGACCAGGCAGCTAGCCCCAAGGATCCACCTATCTCTGCCTCACACCCCAGATGCTGGGGTTACAGGCTGACTGCCATGGTCATCTTTTTTATGTGGGTGTCCAAACTTAGGGTCCTCATGCTTGTGCAGAAAGCCCTTTGTCTACTGAGAGCCCTCTTCCCAGCCCTGTTTTCTCTTCTGGTAAAGGCATTAATTCTATCAGTCCATGGCCTTGTCTAACTCTGAATATTTCATGACTTAGGTTTTCCATTCCTGTAGTAAACACATTACCAGAAGCAACTGGGAGGAAAGGGTTTATCTGGCTTACTGGTGGTAACAAACAGCCCATCATCAGGAGAAGCCAAGGCAGGAACCTGGAGACAGGAACTGAAGCACATATTTCACTAGCTTGCTCCCCACAGCTTGCTCAGCCTGCTTTCTTATACAACTCAAGACCACCTTCCTATAGGCAGTACTACCCACAGTGGGCTGGGCCCTCCTACATCAATCATCGATCAAGAAAATACCAGACAGACTTACCTATAGGCCAACTGAGGCATTTTCTCAATTGAGTGTCTGTCTTTCCAAATGACTCTAGCTTTTGTCAAGATGACATAACACTAACCAAGATATCCCGTGATCTCACTGAAGCCCAATACCATCACACAGGGGTTAGGCTTCAGAATATGAATTTTGGGGGACACAAACATTCTGTCTGTAACAGTCAGCCATGTGCACACACAGCAGAAGCAACTGTACAGAAGTGTGGAGGAGGTAACTGGGGTTTGAATCTTCATCCTGTCATCTACTTGTTGTGTGACATTAGGCAATAGCTTCATTTCTCTTTGCCCCAGTTCCTCTATTTTAAAATGGGGTAAGAATAGTTCCTTCCTCATTGCACTACTGCAGATTACTCGAGCAGTGCACAGGATGGTGATTGAGCATTGGGGAGTTAACAGGCTATGAGTTCTTTGAGAGAGCTGATAGGAGCCTTGCACATTTGCTGGACCCACTCCAGGATTTTCTTCTTTGTTTTTAAGGCTGTTGACACACCTCTGAACTTGCATGTGAGCAGGATTTTCATGGCAGTGACAGCTACCTGAGAGAACCAAGCTAAAGGAGGCACGCCTTATTTTGCTTTGCGGAGTCAGAGATTTCAGTCTGTGGGCAGCTGGCTCTCTTGCTCTGAGTATGAGGCTACACAAAACATTATGGCTGAAAGACTGTGTGGAAGTGTAGGCCGTTCCTCTCGTAGTGGTCAGGAAGCTACATTTCCCTGAAAATGTTCTAAAAGGCATGTCTGGAGGGTGCTTTATTAGTCTCTTAGGTGTCCTCGATACAGGTTGGCAGGCAGGATTACCTGTCACACTGGTGTCAGGAATAATGCTATTTTGTCTCAGCCCTGGGCTGCAGAGAGGGAACTGTGAGGGAAGAAAGTGCTGTATGGAGGGTAGGAGCCTTGGTCCACAATGGAGCAGTTCTGCTGGTCCTTCTTATGGTATGTGTGTGGAGAGTTGTCTCTATGTTGGGTCCAGTTAAAAAATGCTCCAGGCTCCAGAACTTGGTTCCTAAGCACTTAGGTGTCCCACTCTTTCTGTTCATACTCTTACTCACTTCCTAGGATGTCAACTGGCTCTTGACAGTTGGATTGGGACCAATTCCAGTATGAAAATCATAACAAACATTTATGAAGTGCTTACTGTATGATCTGTTCTAAGTGGATTAACCATTTAGTCTTCCTATCATCCTCATGACCTCAGTGGGGTTAACTATCTTCATTTCTGAGTTTATTCACATGGCACACAGAGAATGAAAGGAACTGAGTGGTCAAAGTCACAGTGGAAGGGAAACATGGAGGGCAAAGCCCAAGTCATCTGCTTTGGAGTCTGCTTATGAAGACCATGTCTATCATGGCGCAATGGTCATTGTACTAGCTAGTTTTAGTTTTATGTCAACTTGACACAAGCTAGAGTCATCAGAGAGGAGGGAGCCTCCATTAAGAAAATGCTTCCATAAGATCAGGCTGAAGGCAAGCCTGTAGGGCATTTTCTTAATTAGTAATTGATGGTAGAGGGTCCAGCCCATTGTGGGTGGTACCATCCCTGGGCTAGTGGTTTAGGGTTCAATAAAAAAAAAAGCAGGCTGAGCAAGCCATGGGGAAAAAGCCAGTAAGCAGCACCCCTCCATAGCTTCTGCAGCAGCTCCTGCCTCCAGGTTCCTGCTCTGTTTGAGTTCCTGTCCTGACTTCCTTCAATGATGGACTATAATGTAGAAGTGTAAGCCAAATAAACCCTTTCCTCCCCAACTTGGTTTTTGATTATGGTGTTTCATCATAGCAATGGTAACCCTAAGGGAGACAACCATGGTTTACTTATGTTCACTCTTGTACTCAAGGCTGACATTTGTCTTGTTCCTCTAGGTTCATGGTGACTTCTTTTTGAGGCTCTGAAGACCTTAGCTTTTCTGGACCTTGATTGAGGTTCTGGGGTCCATGAGGCAAATTTTCTATGTAAATAATTCCAGGTAGTAGAGGGAGGTTGTTGCATTCCATCCCTGTCCTGGACAGAGAGGCTGATCTCTTCCCTATTGTCAAAAACCAAACTCCCAAAGCCCATCAATGGCTCAAGGGCTGCCACTCTTATTATTATTATTATTATTATTATTATTATTATTATTATTATTATTATTATTATTATTATTATTATTATTATTATTATTATTATTATTATTATTATTATTATTATTATTATTATTATTATTATTATTATTATTATTATTATTATTATTCACTATGGGCTTAGGAAGAATAGCAGTCCCCACCTGAGAGCTCACCACAGCCTCATTTTTTGGTATTTAACTCTCTTTCCTGATTAAAGGAAGGAAGGTCCATGTGTGCAGAGTCCACATTGCTCCCCATCAGGCCCCTTGGCTGTCACCCATCCCAGTCCCTGCATCAGGTTGGCCTAGTAAATGTTTGAGAGAACCTGGTTCTCATGACTGTTTCTCTGCTAGGTGCTGTCCTTCTACAACATCAGCCAGATGGGTGTGCTGCTGGCAGGGGTCAGCACACAAGCCTTCTACCACATGGACCACAAGGATCTCTGGCAGGTCCTGAGAAGCCCTGTTTCCCAGCATGTGTCTGATTTGTCACCTGTCCAGCAGCAAGGCATCCTCAGCAAGGTAGCTGTCTAGTTCTCAGCCACATGGATTACAGGGGATGTGGTTTCCAGAGTCTCTGAATACACTGACTTTAGGCTGTTTATTTTGGCTGGGGTTATAGTGTCAGTTGGTGTGTGGGATGTTCTGAAGCCAGAACATGTAGCCCCTGGCGCTGCGTCTACCCTTGCAGACAGAGTGCCTTTGACCACACTACACTCTCCTCAGACCTTGTTGCTTTCCTAGCCAGTCTGATATGGAAGACTTTTCTCAGACCAAGCTTCTAGACTGGATTTCAGATGATAATGATTATTTTTAAGGTGGGATCTATGTGGTGCTGAGGCTGGCCTTGGACTCTACCCTTCTGCCTTACAGGCACACACCATCCATCACAGTTGGCTCTAAAAACATTTTAAACGTTCGTTTGAATCCTGAAGTTCATAGAGTGCTTTGGGCCCATTGTGTTGATCTTTGGAGCATTTTGTCCCACCCTGTCTACTGTGTCCAATTAAAAAATCTGCTAAGAAACCAAATCCTAGGTTTTTGAAAACACGAAGGCTTTATGAAGTAGTGGCTGTGGTTAAAATAGACTATGGGTATATTACTCAGTTTTTGGTAGGAAGGATGGGTTCAGCGTGTCAGTTCATGGTGGTTTGGCCCCATGTGCTTTGACAAAGCATCATGGCAGTGGAAGTGTGGCTGGGAAGAGCTGTTCATTTCATGTCTGGTCAGAAAGCAGAAAGCAAGACAGGAAACTGTTCCCAAAGGTCTCTCCCCTACTGAACCACTTCGACTAGCTAGGCTCCCATCTCTTAAAGTTCCCACAACTCCCCCAGAGTAGCACTACTATCTGTGGGAGCTAGTTTTCAAAACATGAGCTATCCAGATGGGCCGTTCATATTCCATCTCTAATGGTGGGTTGATGGTGACAAAGACTCAGGTTTGAGTCACATTGGCCAGGTTTCAACTCACTACTTTTAAGCCTCAGTTTGACCACCTGTAAAATGGGGGATGACAACAGTTCCTATTTCATGTGGTTGCTGAGCAGGTCAAGGAAATTTTATGGCCTAGGAAGTAGTGTCTAGATACACTCAGAATTCAGGCTCCCCACTCTCTTTCCTCTCAATTTCGGCAGCTGATGGAAACAGAAGATGCACCTGCTTCAGGCATTGCAGAGATGCCAAGAGCTCTCTTTAAGGAAGTCTCTCTCTATGATTTGTGGAAAGAAACCCAGTTCAACACTACAGTCCTGAAGGAAAAGGAGCTTCGAAGGAGCCAGGTAGGACTAAAGTGCTCACAGATCACTTTCTTTCTGTGGTGTCGAGAATGGAAGCCAGGGCCTCCCACGTAACAGGTGAGAGCATTTCTGCTGAGTTACATGATCAACTTTGGACATGCACTTCTCCTTGTCTTTATGGGAATGATCTGTTTAGGGTCAGATTGATACAGACACTTTATTTTTGTAATTGAGCCCAGGAAGCAAAGTAGTGCGTGGTAAGAAGTTATTAGACAAAGTGTGAAGATGAATTCTGACTGCTATTTATTAGCTGTGGGGAAGTGACTTCCAACATGGCCTCAGGTGTTTTTATGTGCAAAATGAGGATGATTACGGGCAACGATTGTAACAGCCAGCAAGAGCAGCATGCTGTAAATGTCACCTACCACTACATTTATGGTTAGATAGTGCCAGCATCCCGGATGCTGGGAAAGATGATGCTATTGGGACTGATACCTGGCCCTTCCCTGACTTTCTGTTGAGTTAGTCACTTTCATTTTCATTTGCTTCTGAAGTGATTTATTTTGCGTGTGTGTGTGTGTGTGTGTGTGTGTGTGTGTGTGTGTGTGTACTTGTGTGTGGATGCCAGAAGTCAACCTCAGGTGCCTTTCTTGGTCACCTTTTACATGGCTTTTTGAGACAGAGTCTCTCAGCTCTAACCTAGAACTTGCTGATTCAGCTAGACTGGCTGTTCAGGGAGCCCTAGGGATTCTCCCTGTCTTTATACCACCAGTGTAACCAAACCTTGCTTCTTTTTGTGGGTTCTGGGAACCAAGCCCATGTCCTCATGCGTGTGTGGAAAGTGCTTTATTGACTGAGCCCAAGGATCACTTCTGAAGTGTGTGTGTGTGTGTGTGTGTGTGTGTGTGTGTGTGTGTGTGGGTGGTGTGTGTGGGGGTGGTCAGAGGACAACCCTGAGTATTAGTCCTCATCTTCCATCTTTCTTGAGACAAGGTCTCTTGTTCACAGAGGCATACTCCAAGCTATCTGGCTGTTTTAGATAGGGTTTCTAACCATGACCAAAAAGCAAGTTGGGGAGAAAAGGGTTTATTTGGCTTACAGTTCAGCATTGGTGTTCATCACTGAAGAAAGTTATGGCAGCAACTCAAACTGGGCAGAATCCTGGAGGCAGGAGCTGATGCAGAGGCCATGGAGGGGTGCTACTTACTGGCTTGTTCCCCATGGCTTGCTCAACCCACCTTCTTATGGAACCCAGGATGACAGTCCAGGGATGGCAACACTCACCATGGGGTGAGCACTCCATGTTGATCACTGAGAAAATGCCTTGCAGCTGGATCTCAAGGTGACATTTCCTCAGCTGAGGCTCCTTCTTCTCTGATGACTCTAGCTTGTGTCAAGTTGACACACAAAATCACCCAGTACACTGGCCTAGGAGTTGGCAGGGGTTTCCCTGTCCCTGCCTTCCATCTCTCCACAGAGGAACAGGGATTACAGTTTTTACATGGGTTTGGGAGATAAAAGCTCAGGTCTTCATGCTGTGTGAAAAGCATGTTACCCATGGAGCCATCTCTCTAGGCTCTGGAAATGTTTATCAAGCACAGACTTACAACACTTCCAGACACTCAGGAACCAAGAATGTGGAAGTGAACAAAACAGCAGGGCTCTTCTGTGGGGTCTTTCACGAGGCTAAACAGTGTTACAGCATTCCATTGCCATGTGACATACCACTGGTAGGTTCAGCAGCTAGAATGCTTGTTTTAGTTTGGAAATTCATACTTCTGTAGATGACCTCAAGGTACTTTTGTCCTAGCAGCTGGGCCAATGGAGTTTTCACCTACTGAGATTGTTCCTGTGAGAGCATTCCCAGGCCTACTGTCCTTGGAAACCCCAGGGGCTGTACACAGAGCACCTGGAATGCCTCTCCACTCCCTGGATTTTTTTTTTTTTTTTTTTTGTCTTTATGAAACTTCGATGCCCTCAGCTGTCACATACCAGAAGCCTCTGTCTAACTCTAGCTCATAATTTACTGCGTTTGGGGAATTACGTTCAAAGTTTTAGAGTCTATAAAATAGACAAATGTCGCACTTGATCGCTTCTGCAAGTTAGGTATTCTGTAAAATTTCATTCCTTAAAACAAATGACTCCCCTGCCTACGCTCTAGCATTGTAGAGTGCTCATCTGGGAGGTCTTGAGGGGAGTGTTTGCTGTGGGCATGAGCTCCTTTATTGATGTTACTTTCTGGTCCATGTTGGTCGCATCATTGTTGCTGTTCCAGTTGAGGACTAGCAGATGGGCACACAAAGAGGGACCACAAGGAGTCCTTCACAGGGCAGCAGCCTCATGCATCTAAGGTAGTAAGACTCCAAGACTGCCACTCTATGCTTCTGCTCCTCACTCAGCCTTCCTAATGCTGCGGCCCTTTAACGCACTTTCTTATTCTGCGATGAACCCCAATAATGAAATTATTTTTGTTGCTACTGAATAACTGTTTTGCTACATTTATGAACCACAATGTAAACATCTGATATGCAAGTGTTCTTAGGTGACTCTCATGAAAGGATCATTCAACTCCAAAGGGGTCACGACCAGAGGATGAGAACCACTGCTATAGAGCATGGAGAATCACCTGGAGTGTGGCAGGCTGTGCTCTGAGACTGCTCCTGACATTACTTCAAATTCGAGTCCAGTCACTTGGTGGTTGGAGGGCCTTGGTTCAGTGACATTCCGTGTTCAACCTGTTCCTCCCTCTGAAAGATGAGATCACAGTATGTGTTCCCCACAGGGCCTCAGTGCGCTGGGCCTCACCACTGCCGTCTGTTCTCTCTTGTCTCAGGCCTTGTTCCTGTATGAGCTTCTGGGGAAGACCACAGAAAGGCCGGAGGAGATCCTGAGGTAGGGCAATGTGACAGCCTGACCTGAATAGCCCATTGAAGCCTTCTGTAGGGAAGCCTGATTTCTGAACAGCACCTGCTGAGCTGTGGGAAAACACCAAAAAAAAAAAAAAAAAAATACAACTGAGGGCCAGTGAGATGGCTCAGTAGGTTAAGGCGCTTGCTACTAGCCTGATGACTTGAGTTCAAGCCACATGACTAAGTGGCAGAAGAAGAGAACCAAGTCCTGAAAGCTGTCCTCTGGCCTCCACATGTGTGTCATATATGTAGGCATGTGTGCATGCGCGTGCGCGCGCGCGCGCACACACACACACACACACACACACACACAGAAGCATACACACTAAATGGAATAAACAGTTTTTAAAAAGCAACTTAAAGGAGGAATAGTTTTGTCTTAGCTTACAATTTCAAAGGCTTCTGTCCACATGATAGGGAGGGCAGAGTGGAGCACAGCAGTCCACATCATGGTGGACCAGGACACAGAGAGGGAGACAAGTAGCAATATTCCCAAGGACCTGCCACAGTGACCTACTTCTATTTCTGCCCCATTTCCTGTTCCTAGAATCTCCCAAAATAATACCTTTGAGGGCCAAAAACTGAAATCCAGAGCCTACAAGGACATTAGAAATCATGACTTAGGGCTATTTAGTGCTCAGCTCGTGTTGGGTGAAGCATGCCTTCTTTGGCTCCTTTCTTCTTTGCTCCTTACCCCCTTCTCAGAGGTCCTCGTTTTGTTTCCCAGTGCTGGACAACTGGTGAAAGGTATGCAGTGCTCACACATTGATGCCATGAATGCCCATGTCTTCCTGGCCCACTACCAGTATTTTGAGAACAACTTCTCCATGCTTTCACCAAATCAGGTACCCCTGGATACTTTCCTGCTTCTAGCTCTTTCCCAATGCCAGGGCTAGGCCTGGATTGACTGTGGTGTCTAAAGATATTTATAGTAGGTTCATATAGATATAATACTGAACTGTCTAGAACAGATATAAAAATCATGCCCTCTCCCAGCTTTCTGGGCAGATCTCATTGTAGGTTCCCTTAGCTCTTATCTATGAGCACAAAGACCTCTGTGTGCCTTACAATACATGTGACATAAAAATACATGAACTCATAACAATTTCTTCTCTCTCCATGTACAAGCATCGTGTCACTATATAAATCTATGTTATTAAATCAAAATACTTACATAAGGGCCAAAAAGATGACTTGGCAGGTAAAGGTGCTTGCTGTCAAGTCTGGACACCTGAGTTTAAACTCCCTGCGACACACATGATGGAAAAAGAGAACAGACTTCTGAAAGCTGTCTTCTGTCCTCTAAATGCACGCTGTGGCACACTTTCTCAATACATAAATGAATAAATATAGTGAAAAATGAAACACACACACACAGTAGCATAATATTCTGTTCTATTCACATGCCAGATGTTTGACTACCTGCCGAAAGACGTTAAGATGCTATATCACTCTTTTGCAGTCATAAATGAAATGGTTCTCATACTTAAATGTATATATTCATCTTATTATTGTCTCAGTTTCCTCAGCTACTAGTGGTCAAAGAAGTGGTACCTACAACGTGAGGCACTCTGTTACATAAATGGATGCTTATGGGGCATTGTCTGTGTTTGATTTCATTATTGTTTGTGTAAGTTCCCAGTGTTTACCTTGCAGATCAATTGTTTGGCATGGAAATACTGGGAAGTTTCAAGGTCCTCCTTGCCACCATTCCTCTTGGCTACCCTCCCGTAAGTGAGCATTGGGACCTTTTCTGACTCATCCACCAGATCAGTAGGGTTCCTAGAGTCTGCTATTCTTTCCCCCTGGGTTTTGTTAAGGAACCAGAGGCAGGGTAGAGAATGCCTTAGACATCTCAGGACCTGAGATTCTGGGATTACTTCTGAGCTCTGAGTAGACACTGTTTCACATAGACTCTAATTGGAGTGTGATAGGTAGGAGACTTGCTTTCAGACACAAGGTGTATCTGTGGGAGTGTTCTTGCTTATAGGAGGTCCTTGGGGGTGGTGTCCAGTGCTTTTGTTGCCTCTAGTCTCAGGGGACAGTGCATAACAGATCCTTCATCCTCTGGTCTCTCTGTAGGTCCCGCTTTCTGGCTTCAGTTACCACCTCTCGCTGTGTGCGTTTTCTGATCAGCCTGGGGAAGAGGCACTTGGACACCTTGGTCTTAGATTCCCATAAAAGGAGTTTGGTCATCAGGAAGGTGCAACAGTGTCTGGTAAGAGAACATATTAGGAGTCTGACTTGTGAGTCTCAGAGCTGGCTCCGAAATTATTATTTGGGGTGATCTTGGCCATTGGTTCTGGAGACTTCCATCTCAGAGAGAGAATGCTGGACAGCTACTGTGGAGGACTGGGTTCTTTTCAAGCCTTGCCAGCAACTGGTTCTGTGGCTTTAGCAAGCCCTTCCTCTCCTCCATGTCAGCATCCTCATGTGTAAAGTGGGTGCAAAAGCTTCCTCATTCTGCAGCTCTTGTGGACATAAAGTGGCAATGCATTGCTGAACATCAGGGCCCCAGACAGAATACTTGGAACCAGGAAGTCTCTTTATCTCTACTGAGTATGAATGGTTGGCACTTACAGGTCCTATGATGATGGAAGGGACTAAGTAACAGTGCAGTCCCTGACCCACAGCAAACATACACACATGCTGTGTTTACCATTTTGAGAGAGATCTCTGGAGGCTCAGGTGCCACTTCCTCTGTCATACCAAGATGTGGCTGCTGAGCCCAAGGCCTTGTGCATCCTGGACAAGTGCTCTACCATTGAGGGGGTGTGTCCTGATCTTGGTTATCAAATACACAGTATCCCTAGAACAGTAACAATGGCAACAGTCTCCATTTACTGAGTGCCAAGCATGTGCTGAGCTGGGGGCTCCCAAGGACCTGAGGCCTGCTTCCCTCAGTGGGTGGGGACCAGACTCAGTACCATCTTTGGTGGCCTATGGCAAAGTAGGCAATTCTGATCCAGAAAATTTTGTAGATTTGGGGGATGGGGAATGTCCTCAACAGGTCATGAGCTTGACCCCAGATGGTTGTTGGTTTCAGGATGGTGTCATCTCGGATGAGTACACTGTGGACATTGTGGGGAAACTCCTGTGCCATTTGCCAGCCACCTTCATTGAGAGAGGGATCTCACCCAGAGCCTGGGCTACCACTCTGCATGGCCTCAGAGGCTGCACAGCTCTCAGCTCTGAGCAGAAGGCTGCAGTGAAGTTCAGGCTTCTGGAGCAGTGGGGGTAAGGAGGGCCTGCTGGGCTGTGGGGGTGTGGCAGGCTGGGTGAGAGTGGCCTGGCTTGGCTGCTTCCACAGAGACTACCAGGCTAGGATGAGAACTGTCACTGACTCTGAATATGTGGCCTTTCTCCTTTGGGCTTCAGATTCCCTGTCAAGAGGGAACAGATGTAGCTGGCAGCAGGCCTCGTGTGGTCATCACCAACTCATCTTGGTGTTTAGAGAAGGGAGAGTTGAAAAGATGGCACTTTCAGGGCTAAAGAGATGGCTCATTGGTAAAGTGCTTGCTGCCCAAGCATGAGACCTGAGTCCAGTCTCCAGGAAGCATGTAAAAAAGCCAGGTGTGAACCGGACAGCGGTGGTGCACAGCTTTAATCTCTGCCCTTGGGGGCAGGGGCAGAGGCAGGCAGATCTCCGTGAATTTGAGGTCAGTCTAGTTTATGGAGAGAGAGTTCCAGGACAGGTTCCAAAGCTACACAGAGAAACCCTCCCTGGGAAACAAAAACAAAAACAAAACAAAAAGAGCCAGATGTGGTGATGTGTATCTGTAATCCCAGCCCTGGAGAAATGGGGCTCTCACTGGCCATCCCAACCTGGGTGAGTTGCAGGCCAATGAGAGACCCTGTCTCAAAATGACAAGAGGTGATTACCTTCTGAGGACTAACACCCAAGTTTGTCCTCTGGTCTTCACACACATGTGCACATGTATGCGCAGGCATCTCATACAGGAACACATAATCACAAGATATGACACTTAAAATGTAATAAATTGATATTGCATTATTTAGGAAATTTCTTTCTGAATGCTGGGGATAGAATCCAGTGCTTTGTTCATGTTAGGCAAGTGCTCTACCACTGGGCTACATCCTCAGTCCTTGTTATTTTGAGACAGGCTATTTCTATGTAGTTCCAGATGGACTTGAGTTATGGAGTCCAGTCTAGTCTTGAATTGATCCTCTTGTGTCTACCTCTTGATTGCCAGGATTGTAGGCATGTATCACCATACCTGGCAAGAGTAGTTTTCGGTTCATAGACCAATTGAGAGGAAGGTAGAGACTCCTCTGCTCACCAGCTCCTCATGCATGGCTTCCATATTGCATCATTCCCTACCAGGTGTATCTATCCTAATCCATGCACTGTGTATTTATCCTAATCAAATTAATATCATTGTTGATGTTAGCACCCAAGGTCCAGTGCTTATACGAGGTCTCACTCCTGGTATATATTTTTCGCTAGGTTTGGACAAATATGTGATATCATATTCCTCATTAAAATATCATATTGAGTAGGATGGTGGTAGCACATTCCATTAATCCTAGCACTCAGCAAGCAAAGGCAGGTAGATCTCTGAGTTCGATGCCAACCTGGAATACAGAATGAGTTCCAGGACAGCAAGGACTACAAAGAGAAACCCTGTAGTCAGATGACCTGAATTCAGTCCCTGGAACCCACATGGTGAAGGGAGATAATGGATTCCTGTAAGCTGTCTTAAGATTTCATACATGTACCATAGCCTGTGCTCCCCAGAATGTAAAAATTACAAAATACCAAAAAGCATGTTTAATATTTTTCTATTCTACTGGCCTCTGCTCTGCCTAGTCAATGCCCCATCCCCTTGCCTCTGGTCACCACTGATAGCTTTGTCTTCTCTGATGGTCATGTAGAAGGAACACGCCATATTTAGCCATTTCAAATAGGCTCCTTTCACCTAATAATATTCACATAAGTTTTCTTCCTATCTTTTCATGGCATGATAGTTCATTTCATTAGCCCTGAATAATACCCCACTATCTGGAGGTATCTGGGATGATTTGTCCATTCACCAACTGGAGGGCCTCCATGCCTTCCAAGTTTTGGCCATTATAATTAAAACTGCTATAAACATTTGTATGCAGATATTTTAGGGACATAAGTTTTCAAAATTCTTGTGTAAATGTAGAAGTGCTCAGGTGTTGGGTCATAAGCTAAGGATATATTTGGTTTTGCAACAAATCATCAAGATGTTTTTCACAGAGGTTTCCCCAATTACACTCAGCATCAGTGAATGAGAATTTCTATTTTTCTACATTATTTCCTGTTGTTGTTAAGATCCAGATGATGGATAGAAGGGATTTTGAGAGCCTATCCCATGTGAAGGGATGCTCTCTTGGCCTGGACACATGGGGAAGGGCCAAGGCCTGGCCCAGGATGATATGGTAGACTTTGGGGAGCCCCTTTTGAGGGCCTTACCCTGCCTGGGGAGTGAAGGGGGGATGGCTAGGGGCAGGTGGGATGTTGGGGGGGAGGAGAGGGAGAGGGAGAAGGGATTGACATATGAAGCAAGCTTGTTCCTAATTTGAACTAATAAAATAAAAAGAAAGTATGCATTAAAGATAATAAAATGACATCAATCCACACACACACACACACACACACAGATCAGATGATGGGCTGGTGAGATGGCTCATGGAGTAAGGTGCTTGGTACTAAGGCTGAAGATCTGAATGTGATTTCCCATATAATTTGGTGGAAGGAAATAATTAACTCCCTCAAATTTTCCTCAGACCTCCAAATGCCTATTGTGGTATATGCCCCCCAATAAATAAATGACTGTAATAAAATGAAAAAAAAGATACTGATATTGATGATGATGATGATGATGAAGAAGAAGAGGAAGAAGAAGAAGAAGAAGAAGAAGAAGAAGAAGAATCAGCAGCAGCCTGGATCTAGGTGAATGTGAGCTCCTTATAGCCAAGAAGAACTGGCATTTCTCATGTAGAATTTCCTGTTGTGGACCAGACATTTCCATAGTACCATGCTATCAATAAGTGCTGAGGTGACAGCTTGTAAAAAATGATTTATTTTTATTTTTAGGTGTGTGTGTGTGTGTGTGTGTGAGAGAGAGAGAGAGAAGCGCAGGTGCCCATGGATTCCAGAAGAGGGTGTTGGATCCCTTGGAGCTAGAGTTACAGGTGATTGTGAACAGCCTGATGTGGGTGTTGGAATCCAAACTCTGGCCCTTCTCAAGAGCAGAAAGTGCTCTTAACAGCCGATCCATCTCTTTAGCACCTTTTTCCTTTTGTTTTCAGTTTGTTGTTGTTGGTGAGACAGGCCTGGAACTAACTCACTATGTAGCCCAGGCTGGCCTCAAGCTCATAACCTCCTGTCTCAGTTAGTTAATGAATTTTGAGAACAAATAGTTTGACAGTAGTCATCTGTCACAGGCATTTGCTATTATCTAAAGTGTAAGTGAATCTTCCCAAAACATTTGTTTTTATCGTTTTCTGATTGTATGGTCTGGGAAAAGTTGCTTAATCTTTCTGCAGTTTTAGTATTTGCATCTGTGGAATGGGGACAGACATGAGTGAAGAATCCGTGACGGTATGTGACATGTGTGCTGAGTGTGCAGCAGCTTCCATCTAAGGGGAATGGAGATGATAGTGGTTCTTAGGACAGGCCTGGTTACCACCTTCATGGAACTTACATGGGGTAACACTTTGTAAAGGGGATTGGGAGCCAGGCATGGCGGCACACTCTTATTTTCAACATTTGGAGCTAAGAGGTCAAGGCTACAGAGTGGAAACCCATCTCAAAACCAACCAACCAACCAAAAACACAGGAATAGGAACTCCTTTTCCAGTTTAAGGAGGACTTGCAGTGCTAATTTGATTGATCTCTTTTAGAGATGTCACCTAAGATAAATTTCAGTGTAGAAATTTATGATCTATCTAAGTGGATTCTGGATCAGTGCCAAGTTCAGTAGATTTTTTTAAGTTGTTTGTATAAGACAGGATAGTTATGGCAATTTAGTCATAAATTAGTTGAAGAAGGGTAGGAGGAGGCACTGTGTTATGTGACAGAAACTAGGGAATTCAATCCAGACTAAGAAAGTAGGGATTATATGAGTTCAGGAAGAGAATGGGTAGAGAATTCCATGGGTGGAACTCCAGGAATATATCACCATTTGAGGTGTTGCTGTGGATATATTCCTCCTCAGCAGGCCTTGGTATGGCCCTCATTTTCTCCATGTGATGACAGGACTGACCTCTAGTATCTTTCATGGGAGAGACACCAGAGAAAAGGAAGAGCCTCTTGGTAGTTCCAGCAAAAACCTCAGGGATGATTCTGATCCGTCAGTCTTACCAAATGCCTATTTTTTTGTTCATTTGTTTGTTGGTCAGAGGTGAGAAGACTTGATGGATAGCCTTTCTAGGTTTGAAGGATGGTGGGATGCAAGGGCATCAGATACCCACCATGGATGCCTTTTTACTTTTCTTCTGTATCTCTTCCTAGACCACCTCAGAACTGGACATTGGAGACGACAAAGGACTTGGCACCTTTCTTAGCATTTTTCTCAGGAAATGAATTGCACACGATTGCCACAAAGGTATCACTGAGCAGTATATGAAGAAGGCTGAAGGAATCTGAAAGGGAGAGAAAGTGTCACTGGTTATAACCCATCAGGTTTGCTGATGAAGTCTGTGGTTCTCCAAACTTCTACCAAGTCTCAGCTCAGATATTTCCAGCTTCATCACAAATTATCCAAGGCCTAGAAAAGTAACTGAGTTTGGAGCTAGATGAAATCTAGACCATCCTCGTACAGATGTGGTCAGTACAGTCATTGTCTCTCATCCAGCACTCTGTATCTGTGAACACCTTATACACATGTCCATTCTAGGTTATACACCCAGAGGGGTATAGTTAGACGCATACACACACATATAATAAGACAATGACTCTATATTGTGTGGAATTTCGATGCAAAGTAAGAAAGTTGAAGTCAAGCAGCATGCAAAACAAGCCTGAACCTGTCTGCCATCCTCTGCAATGTGCCTCTGTAGCTGTGAACAAGATGCATGGAAGACCAACATAAAAGGAAGGAGTTGTTTAGATTCATGGTTTTGGAGGGTTGGTCAGTTGGCCCTGTGTGCTTGGGCAGAACATCACAGTGGCAGGAGTGTTTGATGGAGGCTGCTCTTCATGCCTGGCACATAGAAAGCAGGGCAAAAGAAACACAGGAAGAGACCATGGCAGTATATGACCTTTAAGGATATGCCCTTAGTGACTTACTTCCTCCAACCAGATTCTCCCTACTGCCTTTTCATCACCTCCCAATAATACTGTCATGATACGAATCCATCAAGGGAGTGACCTATTGATTAGATGACCCCATGATCTAATCACCTCTGAAAACTTACAAGCCCACAAAGGTGATCATCAATAATCTAGACTATTCTTAACCTAGTCAAGAAAACAACCATGGTTAATTACCCCAGTGACCTCAGAGCCATACAATTCCACTGGCATCAAATAGTATTGGGTTGTTTCTCTCTGTCTGCATCCTAAGTTGTCTTCTGAGACTTTTCATGGCTCTCCTCACAGTGCAGGGCTCACATTTTAGGAAAAGGAATTTCATTCTCCTGAGAGCTTTGGCTGGACAGTGGCACACCACCAGAAAAGGCAAATCTCCTTCTGTGGAGGTGGAGAGTAGCAGTCAGTTCTAGGGCAGACCACACCCAATACTCTCACACCCATGCTTGCACACAGAAGCTTGCTTGGTGGGACCTGATCATAGCGCCTGCTACTCAATGCCAATACTCACAGCACATATGTCCAGGCATAGAAAAAACATCTTTTTGGTGACTAAACATATAATCATAAGCACTAGACATACAAGTGTTTTGGTTGTGAGCCTAGCCTTTAATGGCTGGGCCATCTCTCCAGCCCTAGATATACAAGTGTTATATGCAGATCTGATCTTTAAAAAGTCACTTGTGAGGTTGTAAAAGCCTTCTATCAACATGGTAAAACCTCAGAAACAGCATGGAGTTATAAAAATCCCTGTGCTGCAAATGATTATGGTGGTAGGATACTCAGCACATGAATATTAAATATTAGCTAAATTAATTTTGAGCATGTGCAAAACAAGAATGGTTTAACAATATACACGAGAATGGTTTATGCCAAATTCTAGGAAGGAGCAAGGTGGGAGGGTGAGGGATGAGACTGTCAGTTATGTCTGTGATGTTTTATTTCTGAAGCTGCAGGCGGTGTGGGCATGTGGGTGCTTTGTTGGATTATTCTCTATGCTTTTAAAAATAAAATAAGATATATACATACTTCTGGTTAAACAGATCCTGAATGTCCCAGAGGCTCTTGGATGAAAAGCAAGCCCCCTGCCCCCGTTAGAGGCAGTCTCCACTCCCAGATTCCTCAGCTTCCTTTCAGAAATCTCCACCATGTGTGCATATAAATCCCTCGTAAAACTAGAAAATGAGAAATCTGAAGCATTTGGCTATTCACTTTGCATTTAAAAAACTATAACTACCAGGGACACTGGAGAAAGGCATTTGTTGCCAAGGCTGAAGACTTGAGCTTAAGCCTGGAGACTTACATGGTAGAAGGAGAGAACTGACTCCCCAAAGTTGTCTTCTGACCTCTGCATATGTGCCATGCCAGTGCATCCCCCAAACAAACAAATAAATAAATGTTTAAAAAGTAAAAATACTGTTAATACAGTTAAGAGGGACGGGGAAGCATAGGAGACATGCATCCTTAGGTGATTCCCTCATTGAACAAACTCTATAGATTAGAATGTACCACACAAACTGATAGCAACCAATGGCATCATCTCTTGGCCCACTGTTGTGGTCCATCAACTGAAAATATTATCAAGCAGGACTTGGCCATCCTTTCAAAATCAAACAAACACAAACAAACAAACAAAAACCAAAAAAACATTGATCTTCCTTCCTTTCTTTTTTCGTGTGTGTGTGTGTGTGTGTGTGTGTGTGTGTGTGTGAGAATCAGTTCTTCTCCCACCTATAGATCCCAGAGATGGAATTCAGTTCTCAGCCTTGGCATCAAATGCCTTAACCCAGTGAGTCATCTTGCTGGCCCTTGGCTGTCATTTTATACAACGGCTTAACAATAGCATTACCACATACTTGTGGGACCATTATTGTACCCGTAGTCCACTCTTGACTGAAGCATGATTGATTATGAAGTGTGTGTGAGAGTGTTGCAGAACCTTAGTGCACATTAGAATGCACTGCAGAGATCTGGCTTGGTGGCACTGGCTTGTGGTCCCAGCACATTGGAGGTTGAGGCAGAAGTATCTCAAGTTTCAGGTCAAATTGGGCTATGTAGGGAGACCCTGTGAGGGGGAGCAGCAAGGGAGGGAGATAGAGATAAATAGATAGATCCCCCAGGAGACTCTGCAGTGGTCGCCACACTGGTCTATCTGAGTCAGTGTCTATGGAGTTCAAGCCTGATTGTATAGTTGTAGGCATTTCTTCCATCTGTCCAGGGTTGAGAACTGCAGGCATGCCCTGTGACTCCAATTCTGAAAGGGGAGGTGCCCCAGCAAGGGGCTTCCAGTTTGAGGGCTAAGCAACAGTGAGGCAGGGCCATGTGAGAATGCCTGATGCATTTTCTGGTCTCATGGGCAGGATTCCTAATAATATCTCAAATATCAACAAAGTGGATTATTTCCATATGAGAACTGATACCTTCTCCGGGGTCACCGAAGCTTTCTCATTGCTAGCCTGTACCTAGAATTTAAATGTAACACTCTGCCTATGAGTATTTTCCCTGAGTTTAGGTATATGTCACTCGCATACCTGGAGCCTGAGGAGGTCAGAAGAGGGTTTGGATCCCCTGGAACTTGGGTTTTTGCAGATAATTGTGAGCTATAATGTGGGTGCTAGGAATAAAACCTGGGTCTTTGGCAAGAGCAGAAAGTCCTCTTAACCACCAGGCCCTCTTGCCAGCCCCCAGTGTTGCCCCCTTTTAAAAATAATAAATAGCTAAAAATTAAAATAGTATCAGGCCAAAGATGTATCCAAACTTACATCTTTTGTAATTATTATCAGATTTCTTGGTGATGGCATACCACAGTGCGGAAAAACTCACATATGCGCAGCCTTCTACATCTAGCCTAGCATTAATTATTATCACTTTATTTTTGGCAGTGGAAAGTGATGGGTGTCTGTTATATAGTATTAATTGTATTGCTGTGGAAGTCAAGTATCATTTTGGTAGGATTCCTTATTAGAGATGACATTAGTTGGGTGAGGGATTAGATTTATACAACAAGCTATTATGAAGGAAAAAAACCACCTTGAAGCATTAAGTAGTGTTACAGTTTAAACTCTGATTTAAATGCATCTCACATATTTTTTCCCTTTTAACTGCAGTTTCCTGATATCCTACAACAAACAGCTTCCAAGATGGTTGGGGTGTTGCCCCCCAAAGAATTCCTCTGGGCTGTCTTTGAGTCTATTTGGAACAGTAGTAATGAGAGCCCCAGCTTTGACCCCACCTTTGGTGAGTGATTCTAGGGTACCTGACCCTGCATCTATGGTAGCATTGTTTTCTGTGACATAACAGAGTGTCCTCAGGCAACTGAATGAAATATTTGTACAGCAGTAGAATAGCAAAACCCACAGGCCAAAGAATGACAGCTCTGTATTTGAAATCAGGTGCCAGGCTTGAAGGTTTGTCAAGTGAACATGTGACATCCATTTCATTGGATTCAGCTAATTTTTTATAAAAAGATTTATTTATTTTTATTTTATGTGTATGGGGAATTTTGCCTGCATGCATGCATGTACCACATATGTGTAGTACCTTCAGTGAGCAGAAGAGGACGCTGGATCCTTTGGAACTAGGGTCACAGATGGTTGTTAAGTTGCTACATGGGTACTGGGAATTGAACCCAGGTTCTCTGAAAGAGTTAGTGCTCTTAATTGAGCACTTTATTGTCTCCACAGCCTCAATTTGGCTTATTTTAAAGGATCAACATAGCTTAGCAGCTAAATGGTACAGGTTGGTAGGATTTGAGTTCTGAGTTTGTCACTTACTGACTTTCTTTAAGCTCTTATGACTCGGTGTCTCAGGTTTCCCACCCCTTTCTCTCTCAATAGACAGGGTTTCTCTCTGTATCCCAGTGGCTTATAGCTCACTGTGTAATCCTGGCAGCCTCAAATTCCTATTCCTGTTGCATCCGCCTCTCTAGTGCTTGGGTTACAGGTGAGAGACACCATGCCTAGCTGTGCTTTAGGTTTCACCCTCTCAAGTGGGGTAATGTGAATTGTAGACTCAGTGGGTCACTGTGAAGGTTCATGAGTTTAAACCTCCCAGGCTCCAAAGGGCTTGGCATGGAGCAAATTATGAGAAAGTATTTCTTCCTCTGCTTTCTGCTTTTGAGACCAGGCTGGGCTTGAACTTTCAATCCTCCTGCCTCAGCCTCCTGAGTACCAGGATTACCAGGAGTCACCATTCTTATAATCTTTACCTCGTAAATACAGACTCGTACCTGGCATGAGGAGATCATTGTTATCATGGTAGCGATAGTGATGGGGACAGTGAAGGTTGGCAGTTGTTGCTCACTTGTTTATTCAGAGTGAGACTTCCTTGTGGCTTGGTTGCTTTATGGTCACCCATGCTCTTGGAAGGAACCCCTCATCCATACTCTGTAAGCAAACCCAATAAACTCTTTGCTACCCAAAGTTGGATTTGGCTGGGACTGACACGGCTTTGTGTTGAAACCCTATAAGGAAGGGTAGACGTTTGTTTAGGTCTCACCAGGGAAGGTTATCAGCAACCCAGGCTCTCTCAGGAGCTCACAGGTTTGGCAAGGTCAGGTAGACAGTAAGCCCTGGAGATGCTTCTGACTCTGTGCTCCTGTGACTAAGATCATAGGCATATATCACCTGCTCAGCTGCAATACATTGAAGTCTCGTGGATGGGCACGGCCAGGTCATTACCATGAAATGCAGAGGCAGGAGCCCTTGCTCAGCTGCAATACATTGAAGTCTCATGGTGGATGGGCACGGCCAGGTCATTACCATGAAATGCAGAGGCAGGAGCCCTTTGTTCCCTGCTGTCAACACTTACACCACCCTCTCATGAATGAATACAGCTAGTGAAGATTACTGTGTAAGAACGCAACTAACATTTCCCACATTTCTCTTTCCTGTGTTACTTCCCTGCATCACACACATTCCTCAGGTTGCCATGGAGTTGTGGCTCCCTCTTCAGATGACATCTTCAAGTTGGCTGAAGCCAATGCCTGCTGGGACCCTGAGGTCCTTCTCTGCATGGAGGAGGACACTTTTATCAGGAATGTGGAGTTGCTAGGGGCCGTGAAGGGTTTCAGCCGGCCTCAGCTGATGGCCCTGAAAGAGAAGGCAATCCAGGTAAACCCACCGCAGGGCGGAAGCATCAATAGAAAAACATCAAGCACCAGTATTCAGCCCCATCCTTTCTGCTTACGGACCCTTGAGGCCCTGCACCTATATCATTTTGTTGACGTTTTGCTGCCTCTTCTTAGTGGTGTGACCATGGTTTTCTCATCTGAGAAATGGGCAAACTGTTAGTGCCTCTGTCCTAGGGCAAAGGCAGAACACAGATGATTTGTGTCTCAGCCAGTCAAGTTCTCTACATATTCTGACCTAAACTGCTTGCAAGAACAATGCCTTTGTTTCCTCCTCTTGGAACAGCTGTCTGCTGTTGGCCTCCCAGCTGCTGCAGATTTATCTGAAAGCAGTTTGTCATTGTCATTTTAAAAAGTTAATCCCAGCACTGGGAGGCAGAGGCAGGCAGATCTGTTTGAGGCCAGCCTATCTACATAGTGAGTTCCTGGTCAGATAGTGTTATTCTTTTGCTTAAATTAGAATGATGAGAGAGATGGACATAGACTATGGAGAGCACATTAACCAGTTTATTGTAGTGCACGCTAGAGAGAAATGGAAGAACAGAGCAGGGCAGAGAGTAAGAGAGAAGAGAGACAGAGGGCGTGAGTGAAGAGAAGAGGGGAAGAGAGAAGAGAGAGAGGTTGACCACAGGAAAAAGAGAGAGAGGAGACTAACCTGCGGGTTTAAAAGGGGGAGCTCACGCATGCGCACTGGGTCCTAGGAAGCCTCATAATGAGTGACGTAGCCATGACGTGACCACACAGCACAGGGCCCTTTAAGCTGCCTGAACCTTTGAGATAAGACTCTACAGAGAAGCCTAGTCTCAGAGAAACAAAAACAAAAAACAAAAACAAAAACAAATCCCTTTGAAGGGCTGGGAAAATGGCTCAGTAGGTAAATCATGTTCCTTGAAAGTATGAGGACTGGAGTTTGAAATCCTAGCACTCAAGTAAAAGCAGGTTGCATGAGGGACCAGTGTAATCCCAGCCCTTGGGAGGCAGACATAGGGGGATGCCTGGAGCAATCTGACTTAGCTCAAGAAGCCACTCCGGTGAGCTCAGGTTCAAGCGAGAGACTCTGCTTCTTTCTAATCAGTGGAGAGAGATCGAGGAAGACACCTGATATCAACCCTTGAGCTCTACAGGCACACACAGGCGCACACACACACACACACACACACACACACACACACACACACACACACACACACCCCCCACACACCCACCCACTCACACACCCCCTCCCCTCCCAGGTACCCTCACATATGTGAACATACACACATGCACCATACATACACACTCAAAAGTTCCAAAAACATTGTAGCTGTTGGGATCATAGAATAACCCAGTTACTCTTGTAAGACCCCTGGAAGCTCAGGCCTCCAGGATCTCAGCCCAGGACCGAAGTCGCCCCAATCATCAGGCGGAGGCAAAAGCTTGATGCAAAGTGCACGAGGTTTTATTATAGTTGTTTAATGAGCTAACCCCATGTTAGCTCGGGTCTTTTCATCTACCCACCATGGTAGATGGCTAGAAAAGACAACTCGAAGCGTCTGCATAGAGATCTTATAGGGCAGCGTAAGGGGAGTGTCTAGGGGTACGCACAGGCTCAGGATTGGTGTGCCTCCAGGCTTGGAGGGTTTGCCCTGGGTTGATTGGTCAACTGGTCGTTATGGCCCATAGGCCCTCCCAGGGTCGTTGCTATGCTCTGTGTGTCATTGCTGGGCACTTGTCCATAAAGCACATCCAGAGCCATAAAGCATAACACTACCAGCTAACTTCTGATTGGTTCCTTGCCACGAGTCAGGTATCTAATCTCCTAGTGACTAAGACAAGGTCAGACAAGCACATGTTCGGCTGTTATGGCTGCGGAAAGGGGCAGGCATCTGACCTTAGTGACCAAGACAAGGTCAGGCAAGCAAGTGTTCGGCTGTTATGGCTGCTGAAATGGGGAGCTGGTGGTCCCTTAACCCTCATGGGATAAAAAAGTTGTTAAAATTGTGGGGGCCAGGGCAACTTGGTACACACCTGGTGCTTGGTTGCACTGCTGCCATGTCAAGGTTCAGTGGAGACCAACCAGAAAATAGGCTGAAGTTTTGGTTTACCCTGGAGCAACACCTGACTTTAAGAGAGACCACAAGCTGGGACTATTTAAGCACCACCCAGGAATGGACCATCCAAGGGAAAAGTACCTAATGTTCCAAAGGAAATTCCTAAAGTTCTGAAGGGACCAGCTCCCCATTTCGGCAGCCATAACAGCCGAACACGTGCTTGTCTGACCTTGTCTTAGTCACTAAGGTCAGATGCCTGCCCCTTTCGGCAGCCATAACAGCCGAACATGTGCTTGTTTGACATTGCCTTGGTCACTAAGAGGTCAGATGCCTGCCTCGTGGCAAGGAACCAATCAGAAGTTAGCTGGTGGTGCTATGTTTTACGGCTCTGGGTGTGCTTTACGGACAAGGGCCCAACAATGACACACAGAGCGTAGCAACCACCCTGGGAGGGCCTATGGGCCATAACGACCAGTTGACCAATCAACACAGGGCAAACCCTCCAAGCCTGGAGGCACACCAATCCTGAGCCTGTGCGTACCCCTAGACACTCCCCTTATGCTGCCCTACAAGATCTCTATGAAGCCGCTTCGAGCTGTCTTTTCTAGCTATCCCACTATGGTGGGTGGGTGAAAGACCTGAGCTAACAAGCCTGGGGTCTCTCCAGGCCTATAATAAAACCTCGTGTACTTTGCATCAAGCTTTCGCCTCTGCCTGGTGATTGGGGTGACTTCGGTCCTGGGCTGAGATCCTGGGGGCCTGAGCTTTCCGGGGGTCTTACAGTCCCAACCATTGTAGACAGGTTCACCTGATGTCACTTAGCCTAAGCACACTCCCATTCCCTTTCACCAAGACACCCCTGGACAAATATCAGCCAATCAGGGTCTTGAACCCTCAAAATCCCCCTACTGACAATCTTTACTATGACAAAAACCCTACCCCACCTGGGCTAGGCACTCTCTGTTCTCAGCTGCTGTGTTGGACAGATGGAAAGTCCAATGTCAGGCTTGAATTAAGGCTTTTGCATATGAGTGCGGACTCCATGGTGACTTTTGGGTGACCCGGTGATCTGGGCATAACAAAAATGATATTTATATCTCTAATTTTTGTGCAAACAACCCAAGCTTATAGCATAAAGGTCTGAAAAAAATGTCTGAAGAGGTGGTCCTATTGGCAATGTGGTTCTTATACAAGCAAGAGGGCCTGGGTTCAATCCCCAGTCAGGCATGGTGGGCATGCTTGTAGTCCCAGAGCTAGGAAGGGGAGGCAGGGGATCCCCTGGGGGTTAATGACCAACCAGCTTGCATGGTGAGCTTCAGGCAAGGGCAGGGGACCCTGCAGAATGTTTAACTTACTATTTAAGATGTATGGCATCTGAAGAAAGACATCTGAGGTTGACCTGTGGTTTCCACTTGCCCTTGTATATACATGCATTTGTTCACTCACTATACTTGAACACAGGACACACAGATATACAAGAAAAGTCAGAAAACAATAAAGAAAAAAGTTGGTGATAATGTTTTGCCAGGCATCATTGATATTTTTGGACCAGATATGAAGTGTCACAGATTTGTATATATGGCTAGAAAATATATAGATTTCATATGTGTACTATGTGTGGTCACCCTTAATTCCTATAGAAAGCTGATTACAGGCCATTCACTGGAACTAAAATCCATGAATGCTTAAGTTCCTTATGTAAAATGGTACGGTATTTGCAAAAAGCCTGCCCTACACAGTACAATGTAAATTCCATTTAGGTAGTTGTTAGAATTGCTTAGGGTGTCCCCTAAGTCACTGGTTACAGCAGGACAAACCTTTAGTCTACTTGCAGTGTTTTTGGTGGTGCTGGGTCTAGCAACCAGGGCCTTGCACAAGCAAGGCAAGCACTCTACCACTTAGCCCTAGTTACAGACCCAGACAGAAGTTTTAAAAGAATATTTTTAATGTATGGGTTGTGTCTGCAGCTCTCAGAACATGCAGATACAAGATAGCTTGGTTCACATATATCTGTTACAAAAATGATAGATATCACACTCATTATTCAGTAACTTGTTTTCTGCAAGCAATGTGTTTTTCTATATCAGAAAGATAAATATACATGAGTGTTTTGTGACTGGTCTTTATTTAGCTAGTCATTAAGCTTTGGGTTCTTTGAATTTTTTATAAATGCCTCATGTCAGCCAGCTTTTCATTGTTGTGACAAAGTACCCAAGCAAAGACAACTTAGAAGGAGGAAAGGCTTATTTGGGCTCTGGGTTTCAGAGGCTTCAGTTCATGGTCAGCTGGGTCTTGGTTTGGGTCCAAGGTAAAACAACATGAGCATGATGAAGTATAGGTGCTCACTTGTAGCAGCCAGGGGAGGCGGGTGATGATGACAGACAGACAGACAGACAGACAGAGGCTCTCCAGTATCCTTCTAATGCTTGTGTCCATATGACTTTCTTCTTCCAGCTAGTCCTCACATCTTAATAGTCCATTTGGCTATGAACTCATTAATGGATTAATCTCTGAATAGGGTTAATGCCCCATGGTCCAACCACCTCTTAGGAGCACTACAAGCTGGAAACCAAGCCCTCAACACATGGGATTTGGGGGGAAGCTTCATATTCAAACCCTATTTAAGCCTTTCTACATGTTTAAACATGTGGCCTTGAGCCCTGGTCTCATAATTTTCTTAGGCTAAATTCCTAGAATTAGAACTCCCCAGTGAAAGGCTATCGACCTCTGCACAGCTTTTGGCATGAACTGATATGAAAAGCTCTCTCTCTCTCTCTCTCTCTCTCTCTCTCTCTCTCTCTCTCTCTCTCTGGGTGTGTTTCACTCTATGTCTATTTCAAATACTGCCTTTCTTTACTTATAAACAACAGAGTTTATTCCTTATAGTCCTGGTTGCTGAGAAGTCCATGTCTAAGGCACTGACAGATTCAATGTCTAGTGAGGGTGAATTTCTCTTAGTGACCATTTCCTGCAGCATCTTGCCCCAGTACTGTAGAAGTGGGCAGGTAGCTCTCAAGGTATCTTTTATAAGGGTCAGGAATTCCATTTTTAGGGTGGAGCCATTTTCTAGAACCATCACATTTGGGATTAAGTCTCAGTGATGGATTTGGGGAGGATATTAAGTATGGACCATAGCAGGTGCTGTCACTAACATTTGGCCTGGTCTGTCTGTTTTTCTCTTGCCTAAAGGTTTGGGACATGCCTTCCCACTGGAAACAACACCACATCATCTCTTTGGGGCACATTGCTCTGGCTCTCAATGAGAGTGAGTTGGAACAGCTGGACCTCAGCTCCATAGATACTGTAGCATCCCTGGGACAACAGACAGAATGGACCCCAGGACAGGTGGGCAGATTTTCCTGGGTCTTTTAAAGATTCTCATTCCCTTTATTGCTTATACTTGACTTTATATTACTGAATAGATTTATAGTATTTATAGTAGTTTCTTTCATGTCCTTGCTAATACTTTCATTACCATTGCCATTTTTCAGTCTTTTTCTTTCTTTAAAAAAAAAGATTTATTTTTATTGTTAAAATTGTGTGTATGTGTTGTGTGTATGTGTGTTTGTGTTTGTGTGTGATGTGTGTGAAGGTACTATTGGAGGGCAGGAGAGGTCATCAGTTCCCCTGAAGCTGGAGTTACAGGGGGTTACAAACTACCCAATGTGTGTGATGGGAATTGAACTCTGAACCGGAGGAGCAGCACTTGTGTTCCCAACTACTGAGCTATCTTTCTAGCTTCTCTCAGTCTGAATTTATGAACTGATTTTTCTACTAATGAAGGGTTATGCGTATTTGAAAGACTAGTAATTTTTCACTTGATCTGAGCCAAAGTCATGGAAACAATTGCATTTAGTAATTTGGACTGATTGGTGGGTATTATGAATTTCACACTGTTAAGAGTCTGATTTAGTTGTAGTTCCTTAAAAATACCAGACTTTGCTCTGATCTATATAAGTGTTTTCAGTAATTTTTATCTTTTTGTTGCATTCTTTTGAATTTTACTGGGGCAAAATGATCTTTATTCTGTGGTTAATGTACTTCCTTCATTGAGACATGATTCTTCAAAGGAATTTGCCTGTTTTTCCGTGAATAGCAAGGTCTCTCCACTCTGTTGGCAGGAGAGAAAGTTCTTTCCAACTCCAAGTGAACTTTAAGCTCATCCCACCACCTTCTGCTAGCTGTTGTCCTCTGTGAGGTTTCATTCCTGACATCCTGATATGTGGGAATCAGGGCTCAGTACTCAAGGAGACATCTTTGCTGATATCCAGAACTCTGTCTGTACAGTTTCCTCTTCTTCCTTTGCTCCTGAAACGAGAGGTGTTTTGGCCTTTCTGAACTTGGGATTCTCTCTCATCTCTTTGTATAATTACTTATAGAAAAACCCAGATTGTCAATTCTTTGAGGCTGCTCTTATGGGAAGAAAACATTCTGAGAGTTCAATTTCATTTCTCTGAGGACTATCTGTGATATTTATACTGGCTTAGGCTAGATCCTGGGTACAGAAATTGTATCCATAAAAGATGAGTAGCACATATTTTTTCTTTAAAAATATATGGTTACACATACATGTTTCACCACATAATAAATATGCATTGAATAAATGAATGCTAAGATACTCTCAACTTCTAGAGGTCAGCAGACATGGATTGCTATTTGGTAAGCGCTGAGATTTGAACTAGTGGGGACAGTAGCTTGATAGGTTTGCTTCTTGACCTTGGATCTATGTCTTCAGTGAGGCTAGACCACTGGGACCCACTGATCTTTCCTGCCTTCTGATGTGGAAGGTGACTCCTGGGGACGATTTTAGGGCTTACTTTATTTACTTACCTTGCTTCATGGTCACCCCGACATGCTCCCTGGTTGTTCAATATTTTAATATCATTACTTCCTATATTTTGTTCTGTTTTCTAGATGTGCATGATGGGTTGAAAGTCTGTTTGGTTGTTAATCTCCTGGGAGCTAAAGAAGTACCCCCCCCACGCCGGGAATTTTAGTTTTGATTGGGTGAGGCATTTGGGTATTTAGTCATAAGTGCCTCCATATTAGCTTCATTCTTGGTCAGCTATCCCTCAGTGGTGTTTTAGCATTAGGTTTACATTACGTTTATAGCAGCCCCATCAAAATGCATCTGTTTCATTTATTATATTAGGAGGTTCTACCATTAACTCTGCTCTCAGAGTTGCTCAGCTCTGAGCAATCATTCCTATCTGGAGTAGAATATGTTAGTTGGTTATTCCTGCTACAGAGTCCCGTCTCTATGACTGCAGGGTGATCTGAAAGTGGGGGAGGGTATACGGAAGACAGATTAAACCACTTCTACAAAGATCTTCAATCTAAGTTCCTAGAACCTGTAAATACAAACCATTGCAGTAAGGAACTTAATAGATGCAAGTCATTTAAAGATCTTGAGATGGGGGCTGGCCAGATGGTTCAGTTGTTAAGACCACTTGCTGCTCTTGTAGAGGACCTATGTTCAATTCACAGCATTCACAATTCCAGGGGATGTGATGTCTCTTCTAGCATCCATGGGTACTTGCACACACATAGTGCACTGCATACACTCAGGCACACACCCATGCATGTAAAAAAGGTTTTTAAAGACCCTGAGATGTAAAATTGTCCTGGTGGTCTAGCATCCATGGGTACTTGCACACACATAGTGCACCGCATACACTCAGGCACACACCCATACATGTAAAAAAGGTTTTTAAAGACCCTGAGATGTAAAATTGTCCTGGTGGGCCCAATGTAACCATAAGGTGCCTTATAAGAGGGAGCCATGATACCACAGCCATAGAAGAGGATTCAACAATGAAAGCAGAGGGAAACAGGAGTCTTGAGGTGCTAGGCTAATGGTTTTGAAGATAGAATATGTGACCATGAATTAAAGAATGAACTAACTAATAGTCAGAAAAAGCAAGGAAATGCATTCTCTCTAAAGCCCTCAAATGAAACAGCCCACTGATTCATTTTAGGACTTAAAGCCTCCAGAACTATAAGTGAATACATCTGTTTTACCACCAGGTTGGTGGTAATTTGTAACAGCAGCAAGATAAAGTCAATTCAGAGTAGTTGAAAAAAGGGAAAGTAATGGTGTTATTCAGCCAAGGGGAATGGGTGTTGGGCAGGCAAAACCAATGCGTGGGCTCTTCAATCACTAGGTGTTTGTAACGATGTCCCATGATTCCAAGTGACACCTTTCAAGTACAGCGTCATGCCTTGCCTGGAGCAGGGTTAATATGGAGATCCTGGCCATGAGAATGAAATGAGTTAAAAAATAAAATGTATTGTACAATAATATATGAAGGTCAGTAAAACAATTACTGAATCAGTTACCTTTCTCACAAAACACCTGACAAGGAGCCATTTAAGGAAGAAAGGGTTTATTCTGGTTCACAGTTTGAGGAACCTCTTCCATTCTGATGGGGAAGTGTGGCTTCAGGCAAGGAAAACATGGCTGCAGTAGAGCGAGGCCATCTGGTCACTCTGAGTTGGCAGTCAGGAAGCAGAAAGCGAGCAGGAAGTCAGGCCACCTTATAAACTTCAAGGCTCACTTCCCAATGACTCACTTCCTGCAGCAAGGCTCCACTTCCTGTAGGTTCCACATGCTTCCCACACAGTGCTACAGCCGGGGAACAAGTGTTCAAACTGGTGAACCTATGGGGACATTTCACATCTAAACAACAGTTGCTTTCCCTATTCTTTTTATCATTGTTCTTGGCATTCCGAGTCACCAGTACCACAGTCACTTCCCTTTCCCTGAGTTGCTTTTCTTGTTTGCAGAATGAAAAGGATGAAGCCCAATAAACTGAAGTTCTTTCCACTAACATTCTGCAATCCCATGGTTCTCTGACTCTAAAACTGGTTTTGACTAGTTTAGAAAGTGCCACATTCCATTCCTGTTATTAAAATGATTTTATTTGCAGCCTGGAAGAAACCGAAAAACGGATCCAACTTAGAAGCTAGAGCATCCCTTTTTCCGTGCGCCAGTTTTAATTCCCGTGGATGGCAGCGAGATATATCAATATGTTTGAAAAGGATATGAAAACGTAACATTTGCATATATCATTTTCAGTCAGTTCTTCAACTTCAGCCTCCAATCAAACCTTTAAATGCATGTTTCTAGATTAATAGTCAGACCTGGAGGAACTACATTAGCAGATAGTTCAGCTTAAAACCTAATATAAGGGGGAAAAAACTATTATAGAAGCCAGAGGGATGAACAGAGAGATTGAAATCTTACAGCTACTCATTTTTCAGTGGTTAATATTGCCTACAAGTTTGGTATTAATTGTCTCAGAATCATTACACATACACTCGTCCAGTCATTCAAAGAAATATATTTTGACTTATCACCTTGCAGGCTGAGCTTGCATTTTCTGGGTTCCAGGTGCAAAGACAATTTAATACGGCATCTTCAAAGCAATTTTATTTGAATTGTAATTTTGCACTTTCATCTTAAAATGGGCATCCATGATATTTGAGGAGCACAAATTGCCATGAGTCAACTAGTAAAATCTGATTGTGAAGATTTAATAAGAAAAATACAGTTTATGGCCACACCACTCTGAATGATCTGGTCTTGTCTGATCTTGGAAGCTGGGCAGGGTGGGGCCTGCCTCAATAGTGCTTGACTGTCTGGGGATATTGGGTGCTGTTGAATCTCCATGTTTTTTTTTTTTTCTAGAGGCATACATCTTTAATGGGTAAGCCAACTGTGGTACCCACTGCCTGGGTTTTTTAGATTTCTTGTGTGTGTGTGTGTGTGTGTGTGTGTGTGTGTGTGTGTGTGTAGCTGTAAGACTGACATTGGGAGTCTTCCTTGCACTTTATTTTATTCAGGATCTCTTAATTGAACTCAGATCTCATTGATTTGGCTAGTCTAGCTAGCCAGCTTTCCCTGGTGATCCCTGACTATGGCACTGGCGTGCTAGAATTACATGTGAACTTTCATGCTGACCTGGCATTAATGGGGGTTCTTGAGATTCAAATTCTCAACTTCAGACTTGCACAGCAGGCCCTTTAACCACTGAGCCATGTCCATAATCTCTGTCATTTTTTTTTATTTTGACATAGAACTATCAGTTTCTAGGAGAGTAATATTGTTTTAGCCTCTTCATGCCTCAGTGGGTGATTTGTTAATATTTGGCTAATAAGGTTGTGGTGAGGAGTAGATGAGTTGCTGTGATAAAGCTGTCTGAATAGTGTAGCAAACACAGAATATTCAACATGCTAGCTTTTATTACTCTTGGTTCATATTACCATTCAGTCAGAGCCATGCAAGCTGAAGCTGAAGCTGAAGCTATAGATATTCAATGTTCTGAACTCAGCTGCTAAAAGCTACGTAACCATTGAGGGCAACTCATCAGCAACCAGTCTGTCCATTCCTTGTTGCTATAACTGCTGTTATTTTGTTTAAGTCTAAAAATTAGAATAAGCTGCTAGATGGAACCGGTGCAATGGAACACGAACTATAGAGAGTACATTAATCATAGAATTTATTCCAGGTGGGGGAGGGGGAGAGTGAGAGTGGGAGAGAAAGAGAGAGAGAGAGAGAGAGAGGAGCAAGGAGAGAGAACAAAGAGGGAGGGAAGGTAAGAGAGACACTGTAAGAGTAAAAGAGCATAAGTGGGCAGGGGTCTGTCTTTTAAAGGACATGGAACCCTGGGCTGACCAGGCTACTGCCTGAGTGGATTCTGCCAGGTAACCGGGGCAGGTCAGCATGATGCCTGAACCTTTCAGTAACACAATAACCAACGCAAATAACTTAAAGGAGGAAAGACTCATCTAATTCATGTTTTCAGAGGGTTTGGGCCGTGGTCACATGACTTCATGTCCTTGGGCAGAACATCATGGTTGTAGTAGTGTATGGTGAAGGGGTTGCTTCACCTCATGGCGGACTGGACATATAGAATAAGGAAGGCACTGGGGAGCAGGTAGAACCTTTGAAGGCATGCCCCAGTATTCTACTTTCTTCAATGAAGCCCTGCCTTCCAAAGTTTCCACAAACTTTGAAACTAGTGCCACCAACTGGTGATCAAGTGTTTGACAAATGAACATTTCATATTCAAACCATAATGGAGTCCATCTTGGGAAGGCATCAAAATGATGTCTTCTTTATAGAAGCATGTATTTTCCTATGATGTGTATGGGTCACTCACTTAGATGGTCATTTATTTACTCAGTTGCTCATAAAGTATATAGCAGGCTTTAGTTAGATACTTGGAACACAATGACAAGCTAGACATGATTCTTTGGGGATCTGTCAGTGCGACAGGCAACAAAAGTAGTGATTGAGGGGAACAGAAAATAGATGAATGGGATGCTCATAAGAATAGTGAAAGAGGACACTCTTTGAGTTGGGGAAGCCCAGGGGATAGTAGTCTCTGAGAATATACACGTTGAATAGACTTGAGGGATGGGACAGCAGCAGACACATGGAAAGTGGAACCCCAGTGCAGTATTTCATTGTTTCTCAGAATCTCTCTCAATATAACCTTTGTCCTGTGTGATGTAGATGATTGACCCAAAGGAAGGAGGGAAGATGACTATGTCCCATGACCTTGACTCCTACTTAATGCTGAATGTTCATGCTTGGATGCTTTTGTCATCTTTGGATGCCTCCTCATCTTTATCTTCTGACCTCTCCCTATCTGCTCTTGTCAGCACTGAAGGACCCACAATTTGCTATATAGCTCAGCCCCAAGGACTGTGGATCTTTTTCAGGCCCAGTGTAGGTAAATCAAGTGAAGTCTGGACACGTTTATTTATAAGCAGCAGCAAACTCAACATAAACTAACCTGAGTGAGGAAAGGAATTATGGTGATGTTTGTCTTAGCTGCTGTTCTATGGCCATGACAAACACCATGACCAAGGCAACTTATGAAAGAAAGTGTTTAATTTGGGGGCCCACAGTTGTAGAGGCAGAGCCTATGACTAGCATGGTGGCAAATGTGGCAGTGGGCAGGCAGGCGTGGCACTGGTCCACAATCACAAGGCAGGGGTGGTGCTAACTAGAAGTGGTATGTGCTTTTAAAACCTCAAAGCCCACTTCCAGTGACATACCTATTTCAAGAAGGCCACACCTTCTAATCCTTCCAAAACAGTTCTATCAACTGGGGACCAAGCATTCAAACACATGAGTCTCTGGGGCCATTCTTATCCAGACCACCACATTGCTCATAACAGAGAACTCAGATTCAGAGTTTGGGTGCATCTTCATCCAGCAGCTTCAACATAGTCAATGGATTCTGCTTTGTTTTGTATTTTCTTTCTTCTTAGATAGGTAGGCCTTCTCAGTGTAGTGGGTTCTAGAAGATACCTGTGCATATCACCTCAAGGATCCCTGTGTGTTTCTTTCCAAGGTCAAGAAGAAAAATGATAGTTCTTCAAATTAATCTATCCAAAATCTTGGTTAGTCCTGGACAAATCACATGTGGACAGGCAGAAAAAAAAATGACACGATTAGGACAGGACTAGGCCATGTCATTACATGTGGATCTCATGATGCAGTTGCCTCCAACTGGACTACATGCGGGGGAGGGGAAAGTTGCGGAGAGTGGTTTTGCCTGGGACAAGTCATGAGGTTTGAGTAGCTTCTCTGCTGGAATTGTGCAAGACCTTGTAGTCAGACCCTTAAACTTCATTGGAGATATCCCTGTGTAGTTTTATTTTTAAGCACAAAAATCATTCATAGTCTCTGACACTAAAGATTGAGGAAAAGATACAGCTTTGTAGAAAAGAGAGAAAGGAAAAGGGTCATTTGAGCTTGAGCTTTTTATGCAGAAATGACATTTGAAAGGAACCAAAACACAGGCAATGGCTGGCTTTCAATAGCTGGAAACACAGGAGTATATTTCATATGGAGGAGATGGTTTGAGCAGAGGCAGGGAGGGGCAGGGCATAGGAGGTTTTGCTGGAGAGTTATGGAGATGGATGCTGGAAATGCCCAGATCTGGATGCCCAAGCACTTGAACAGTCAAGCCACCTGAAGTCATAATGGTTTTCAAATGAAAGAAATTGACAGATATATATATATTTTTTTTTCTTCCTTCCTTCCTTCCTTCCTTCCTTCCTTCCTTCTTCCCTCCCTCTCTCCTCTTTCTTTCTTTCTTTCTTTCTTTCTTTCTTTCTTTCTTTCTATAGGCTAAATCCATTCTGAAGGCATTCCTTGAAGATTCAGGCTACGGTATCCATGATCTGAAGAGTTTCCATTTGGTTGGGCTTGGTCCTACTCTATGTGCTATGGACACCACTGAAATCCCACTTATAAAGACCTCAGAATTCAGGTAACCAAAATGCAAGTGTGCAAAATGGCAAATGTTCCATTTACTCACACATTCACTATTCCATCCATCCATCCATCCATCCATCCATCCATCCACTCATATGCTCTCCACTTTCTTATCTTTGCCCCCTTTCTGGGCTAAAGTTGGCAATGGGACTCACTGGATC